TCTTCGAATAATTGTAAAAATAAGCCCGGGACGACATGCGTGAGAAATATTGTTAATCTGGAAGAACGCGAGTGTAGTTTAAGTCTTAAATACTAATCAGCCAACCATTTTTCAGTTTTACAACAACGGTCAGAAGTGTCACGCTGTTTGATTCCAGTCCACGTGCGACAAAAACACTTTCCCGTGTGTGACAGTGAGTCCGTTTAATTCTGATACAAAGATATATTCAGGGCATCCACAATACAAGGTAATTTTCTTGTCATTTGGCAAACATGAGGGAGGGAGCTAGTGATCTGTTTTAATAGATATTATATTCATTATTTTCAAAAGTTATTTGTTTTTCTATTTTGTCATTGCCACTCCCTATGAGGACAGTCATATGCAAATAAGTTGCAATTATTGTGGGTTAATAACATAGAGGGGCCTGGACTCCCACTTTGAGAAGGCCGGTGTTTTATAATACTGCACAAATAAGTAGAGGAAAGTACATTCAAACGAGTGCTTCTCTTTTCAGTTAAAAGGATTTCGGACAATAATCTCTAAAAAAAGAGGATGTGATATGAAATGAGACGCACTGTTCTGAAATCCTGTTAAAACTGCAACATTTTTACAGAATTTTGTGACTGATTTGTCTTCGAAGCTTGTCGGCAAAATCGGTTAACAGCACATTTTAGCTTGGAAATCACTCTGCATCCTTTATTATGCAATGTAGTAAAGTTTTAGAATAATCATAATTCCCGGCTTTAAAATTAGCGTGTAAAAAATCAGAACAACATATTCATTCTTTGGTATCAAAGATGCAGATAACAGTATTTGGTCCAGATTTCAATTTTCGCAAAAAATTGATAGTTTGTTCGATTACTAGGTATTAGCCCCAATAGGTTGGCTACTTTATCCCGTTTTTGTATATAATACTGTCAAAATTAAACCTGTCAAGTGTGGCTTCGTTGTAGAGAAATTCTGCCTCACGAGAACTCTGCAGTCGTTTTTTTTCAAAATGGCTAATCTTTGAAAAAATGTTAGTCGCAACAACCCCATATTAGGTGGTTAACTCTTTTAATCATTCTTCTTGCTATTTGGAATAATTTGAAATGTTTATTAGAAAATACTCATTTCCTGGACGCGTCGACAACATCCACTACAAATGCTTAAGATATCGCTCAGAATTAACAAGATTAAGATCAATAAATTCGGATTAATTATAAATCGTGGCATATAGACTTTTGATCCTTCCTGTCTTCGCTGCATGGCACTTAGGTAATGCGATTCTTTGCACAAACAGTTGTTGAAATAATGCTTCTTTGCATTAAGCTCATCAGCAGGTTTACACGCAAACAGAAATTGGATTCCTTTTCAAATGTGGCGTGCCCTAATCTTATCATTGCGCTGAAATTTAGGGACTTGTCGCAGTGTTCGGAAGCTTTCGTCCAATTGGATAGGGCTTTTCTATGCTTTCTAAAGAACGAAGCTATGCTATTGGTTGAAACAGAAATGTATTGTAAAGTTCAGCCAATGAAAATCATTCTTGCGAGGAGCTGCGACACTATACCCGGGGGGAGAATTCATGGCTTCGTTCTGGCGTCGTTTAAAAATGCGAAAGGTTTTGACATCAGAGATGTTGTTGTTGATAAAAGATATCTTTGAGATGATAACTGATTATGCTTGTAGAATGCGCCAGTCTGATTTTAAAAAAAGACAAGCAAACAATTTTAAATTTATTAAAGTGCCTTGAACGTCATACGAAATTAATTTTAGTCGGCTCTGAGGAAATTACTTGAGCATGCGCATGCACGAAAGAAAAGATAAGGAATTGTAAATGTTGCCCAGGAAATTGTTTCCCATCAATCTTATGGCCTTTGCCTATCGGCACTGTATAGACCAGCTTTAGGTAATGTATTGTATTTCATACAAGTATTCTTAACAGCAAATTAAGCCAATTATCACCGTTTGGAATGTTCCGCCAGTCTGTCATTAACACTTCACATCTTTCCTTGACAGGCTATTTTCGACGAGTGATTTTATTGGCGAGCAATTATTCTTGTAATGTGAATTGTCATTATCATTGTCAGATTGGTTTGCACTCCGGTATGAATGCATTGAAATTCGTCTGGTAACAGGAATTTATACGTGCTCTGCCACATTCAGAAGCACTTTGCTTTGAAAGTTTTCTGGAGTCTCGCTTTTAACGACCAAGATGATGTTTTGTAAACGTACAAGCGTCTGCAAGTTGTTTTGTATTCTGTTACAAGGTAAGGAGTATCAGATCGATCATCATTATGTAAAGATCAGTAACTGCTAATGTTCTTTAATTAAAATACTATATGACTTGCGCCGTTCAATTCTTGCATAGTATCATCGCTGTTTCCTTGTTGTAACTGTGAACAACTACATGCTAATAAATTATTGAATATAATTTGCCACGACCGTACAACGCAATCCCCCAACGGGTCGCGGAATCATCTTCTCTTCGAAAAACGATGTGAAACCTCGCATATCTCGAGTGGATAGAATATGCGCAGCTTTTACCAGATCTAGAACCATACGCAAGCAAACGTTTTACGCACAAGCTAGTCAAAGTTATAGTTTACGTTTTGTGATTAAGTTTCGCTGATCCATAATACTGTTAGAGGAACATTTTCAAGTGTTTGTCAAATATCAATACGACCTACCCACGTAATTCAAGAATTCCTGTTCATTGTGATAATAAGCCTGAGTCAACATTTTGTCATTTGTTACTCGTGGACAGGCTCTGCATATTTTTGCTTCAGTGCATTGAACTGAGCTCCAATTCTAAGTGAATTTTTTCTCACAAATTCCGCATTTACACGGGGTTAAGATAGGCTGCATTTGTCACACGAAATATGTCAAAAAAAGTTTGCTGGTATTCAAAGTTTGAAGGCCAGAGTTCATCGATAATACAGTACTTCGGATATACCATTGTATTATATTTATCAGTAAATCACAAATTGCTATGACAAAGCCGTAAAATTGACTGTGCAAACACTGAACTTTGTAGTCTATTTCTGTTTCTAATATTAGCACTAATTAAATCCATCTTTGTTTTAAGTTATGCTTATGATATTGTTTATCATTTCAAAAATAAACACAAACGAGCTTTCATAGCGTTGGCCTTCGCATTTAGCAACCCTTTACGGTTGGTGTGATATCCAATAGGATTTTACCGACCTAATAAGTGTAGATGTAGATGTAGAGCTGCAGATCATCTTCTTTTAATCACAAACTCAAAATTATGCGCACTTGCGGAGGAACAATATGGCCAAAAGCAAGAGATATACACATATGGACGATGATAATGAATATACCGCAGACGGAAAGCGTTTGAGATAAAATTTTACAGTTTTACCGCTGAGTATATGAATAGTAAAGATCCTATACGTTTGACTTGTGCGTGACTATGAAGTTCAGATGTGCATGACGTACCAGTCTGTTGAATTTATGATGCCCGTCATGCTATTTTTAATTCTGACCGCATTTTATTCAATAATCCATTGAATTCTGACCATATTTTAATGAACAGATTTGAATACCAGAAATATAGAGCATGTCGGCGCTCTAGAGTGGAAATTCCTTTAGAACTTGATACGTGAGATTACATCTAGTATAAATCAACACAGACTAGGCAGGTCACTTTTCTTTGAAAGACACGCGCGCGCAAGGATAATTTGATCAAGGGGATTTGGTGATTTGAAGAATGAAAGCATTTACCATTTATCCTTGAGATGGCCACATGGCATTCACCAATGTTTAAAGTAAACAATTTTCACGTGCATGTTATTTAAACAAACATATTAAACACCTTTCAAGTGTGTACCTCTTGACATAAAATGCCATCCATCTTATCTTGCTATTTCCTTGATATTGATGGCTACTGGGGTGCGAGGATTTATGAATCACCTTTTTGCAACAACCACTGCCAGACAAGTCAAAAACGGAGTCCTGACTGAATTCCTAGCGCGTGCCTTTCCTAAGGTTTTCAGTTTGTTATTCACCGTCTTTTCACCGACCATTACTGAACTAGATATTACAGACAGGCTCTATGAAGGCAAAAGGACGATCATAATTAGGTTTCGTGCAGTATACAACTGTACACTGTTATATCAACACAGCAGAGGCCAAGCCTGCCTTAGAATTTGTCCTGCTATTCCAATTTTTGGGATTATTCATTGTAAAATCAATCAATTTCTAAAGAAATCAATCATTATAATGACTTAACTCTTTGGTAGTAGAACGTAACCTTTTCGTAAATTTTTAATTAATGTTTCTGATAAGCCTCAGAGACAGAAATTGTTGTTGAAAACAGTATAGCCACGAGTCTCTCCAGTTTCCCGACATGCCGACGGATGTTTACAAAACATGGCAATGGAAGGCAAATTTGAAAGCATTCGCAACAAATACTATAGCTACAATTAAGAACGCAAAGTTTTTTTTTCGCTTTTGATGCTAATTCAATTTTTGCAAAGCTGATCAAAATGTCTTGCCTGCTCTTGAGTATAGAGGGTTTAATGTGACAGCTGTTCACAGAGGCCTCCCGGCTGCAACTTTAGAAATGCGGTAAACAAAGTGATTCTTCAACTCAGAAGATTATTTTGAACCTCCAAGTTTGTAGTCCGAAGAAAATGCAAATAAATGAATTTGCCTAATTCCACGTTTCTAACAAAGATTTCCTCAACTATATAGACCATATTGTGATTTATTAGACGCGCCATTGACGAAACCACTTTCATTTCTGTCTGTTAGTCTCAATCACAAACCATGACATTTTGACTAAACTTCAATTTAGAGAAGCGATGAAAGATGAACTGATGTGCTTAAATCTTGGATAAATTAAAAACAATACTAGGAATTAATCTCGTTTATGGAGCTAATGAAAGTTTATCCATCACTCCAGGCTTATTTCCCTTACGGCCTTGATGCGACTGAAGCTGCATTACACATTACGACATATTGATAATTACGCTACGAACTAAATGATGTTAGTGCGTAACAAGCGCGTTATGAATTGAAACCATTACATTTTACACATATGTAGCTACGTCTTACGCCAGCTGTGAGCCATATGACATCACAACAGTCATTTGATCACCATTTTCCTTAATTTTCTTAAAAAAAAATCATATCTAGTTGCAATAATTCAGGATTTTTACCTTTCATCGGAATGATGTCTAAAAGCAAAGTTTCAATCCTTCCGCTTGAAATCAATTGCGAACAGAAATGGCGAACGATTTTTTAACGATTTTAGTGACAGGTAATTATATTCGTAAAGACAAATCTGTCTTTTGAAGCCTTTGAAAGCGACTGGTCTAAAGATTAAAAGCATGTATGCGTGAATATATCCACCCGTTCCAGTCCTCATTATTGTCAAATGCCAGTGTCGCTGTTTTATATACACCAAATTAATAAATGTACCAAATTATGGGAATACAAAATACCAAAGTACTTTAATATTACGTAACTTAGCTTTTTTGTACACCACGTAAGTATTTAATACTGCAAAGCTTTTGCTCAGTTAACCCGGGCCTTCTTCATCAGTGCAATTGTGTATATACCTTTTTAGTTATTGCACTGATGAAGGCCTGCGTTATTACGGACCGAAAGCTTTGCAGTATTAAATACTTATGTGGTGTACCTACAAGCTAATTTACTTATTTAATGTCACTTAATACACAGCTTAATATTATAGTATCTTTTATAATATCTTGATAATATTATGATGTTATAATATCTATAAAACATTGCTAGTATATTCCAAATTAGTCAACGCCAATAATCTTCAGCAATATATTATTATATGGATATTCATATTATGTTGCTGCTTTCTATATTAGGTATGGCAGATCACGGTTGAAGAATAACTAAATATTTCAGGAATTCTTCCCTAATTCAACAATTTTTTCTTCAAACCGCATTGTAAATAGTATCTGTCTTCACATAACTGTCGTCGTCCCGTTAATTACGAATCTTTTTAAACTCCTTTGCGAATTACTAAACATGACCATGTAAACACAGTGAAAATGACCTTTCTGTGATAATTATTCCGGTCAACATGCTAAGAGTGATGAGTTAAAAAAACACAAGTTAAATAAACTGAAAGGTATTTGGTTGCAGTGCCTCTCAGTCGATCACGAACTTTACATTGAGTCATAATTTTAGTAAACAATTTCACACCTAAATTCAATATCTTAAATAAACATGTCGACCACATTTCATGTCACGGTTATCGTTCCGCTAAAAATAGCAACGTTAGGAAAACTTTACTCGAGGTCACATGCGAACGCTTTTTATAGCTAGGGGCGTGTGTTTTTAATGCGCAGATAAAGCCTTTAGAACACGGCTCAAGTTGTTCCCATTTCATGAGAATATTTTGTGCTGCACCCTGCAAACATGGTTGTTATCAAGCCTTTGCCGAGTTTTAGTTTTTGTCCAGTATTTTTTCGTATGATAGATTATAACACAATAGATTATAATATAGCACGATACATTTATCATGAGGACATGAACTTAAAAGACAACGTGAAAATGGCGAATAAAAGGCGTAATGCGTCCAAATATGGACCTGCTACGCCGTTTATTCGCCATTTTCACGTTGTTTCTTACCTAGTTAATACTTCGCAATCTATAATGAGATTGTATCCTCATTCAGCCTCATTATTTCATCTCATTATCTACGGGACCGAAATGCGACGTTTGAACTAGGCGCTAGACGTTCCCGTCCTGAAGCTAACCCTGCCTATTGTTGGCTGGAGGCGACTTCAGCAATTGGAAAATCACTACACTGTGGATAACGCCCTTCAGACTTCGCATGTAATTAGCCTCAGGTAATTACTCATAATTTTCTGCACAGTGGACTTAGCGGTTGTCAGCGGTATGATGTGGCTTTTCGCAACTTTGCAGGAGATGTTTTTTGCGTTTTTGCCAAAAGTTATTCGCCAACATAAAGTGTCATGATTTGCTGCTAATAAGCTTATAACACTCCAGGTATGGAGTCATCATGCAGCGAGGTCATTGTATTTACATTAGAATATCCAAATAAGGCCGTGTTTGTTTTAAAATACGTCATCGACATTTGAGCAGTTTAAATTCGTGGCTTTTTTTCTGTAAATATCGCACTCAAAGAGAAGTAGACTTTATGAAAAGCTGGATTCGCAAAGAGAATTTGCGTTGGCGAAATATGTGTATGTTTTCCAATTCAAATGTGGGTCCTCATTCCTCAAACATTATAATCAGTTGCTTTCCTGATCAGTGCTGTGGAATTAAATGTCCCATAGGGAGAAAAAATAGATTTGTTGAGCGAGATTCACGTTAGGCAGGCAACATCTATCAGTGTCGACTAGATTCTGTGAGATTTCGTGACCGTGCAAAGAATCTTCTCGCTTAACTCACAACAACACACAACTCAATCTCTAGCATACTGGGTAGTCTTTGAAGCAATTGCTACAAAACCTTTAAATACGACTGAATTACATCGCCCTGCTTATTTCAACCCTTTGTTATTAGTTTTTGCAACCTTGAAGTACAATCAATCTTACTATTCAAGTATTCATGCAATATTATTTTTTTCAATAGTTTTGCATTGCCTTTCAAATGACGTGATAAATATTGACCTTCAAAGAGGAACTGTATCAGGTTCCAGTGCCTATGTTAAGATACTGTCCGCTCCAACGGCTGGAAGAAGCTCCAGAACGTGCGACAGCCAAGCGTTAGTGCGTATTGACGTTCGTGTCACGAACAATCCTGTGCGTTTCACGTTTCGTTATGGGGAAGATCCTGAGGGGTGGACCTTTGTGATCTCGGATTGTTCAAATGATTATGGATTTGGTGGAAACTTTAATCATTCGAGTAATTGTGCGTCAACGCAGATGATCAATCGGCAATTAAGAGTTTACAGTAATCGACTGCCTGGGTATATAACAGAAGCTGTTGATGGCAACACGCTTATGAAGGTAAGAAAATGAGTAACACATGAAGTTGCACCTGCGGAAGAATCCATTTAAAGTTATATTATGATAAGTCTCATTTAGACTTACTTTGGGCCTGTTCATACTTCATATGAGAAGGACCAGCTCGGCAGTGCCAGGATCTCGCTTAACATATCATCAGTGTTTCACTACATATTTGTTAAATAGCATTCATGGGCACAGCCCAGCTCTGGCGAGATCCCGCTTGAACGAAGCGAGATCTCCCGTTTCCTGAACGAAGCGAGATCTTGCGTTTAACGGTTCATATAAAAACATCAAGCGGGCCAGATAACTAACACTTTGATGATGAAATATATACTGCTTTTATTATAGGTGATGGATGATGTGGTACATCAAGGGTCAACGGTATTGGTGAAGGCAGGAGATGGTTTCATCTCAGTAAATAATACATTAAAGATACGAAACTCTTTTCTTTATACACTGGATGGACAATGGACAACCTATGGGCCTCTTGATAAATACCTTTACATTGGGTTAAATAGGGTTCCTTATGGTAATTTCAGAGCTGGAACTGGTCTCTGTCATGTCAGAATAAGAGTTGACAGGAGTAAAGGTATGGATACTTTCTGGTCAGTTTTGTATATTTAGTCGTCTTTAAACCTCACGGTTCGAAAAATGTCAAAAATGTACAGAAGTTTATTCAGGTTAACATTTGATCCGAATTGGAAAGTGGTTGAAAACAGACCTGAATCGTCCCGCCAAGTTGTGCCCTTTCATATACAATTTTAGTTTCGACTCTTTTACTCTTGTGATTTTATTTAGTTTCATTCCAAATACGTCCCATTGTATGTCTCAGTACTTCAGGAAAGAAAAGCCGAACATTGTTAGTATGCGCTGCCAAGTTACCACTTTTTCTACCAAAGTACTTCGACTAGTTTAACTTTCTTTGACGACTATTTATCAACGCAAGACAATTGCTAAATATCCTGTGAAATTTGAATTAAAAAAAGCAAATCTCCTAAATTTACACGAGAATTTCCGGATGTTCAGTTTGTATAACCTGAAGCGCGAGGCGCTGAGCCATAATTAGCGGTTAAATAATCCACACATGACGCCTGCCTGCCTGCCTTGGCAAAAACATTCACTGCCTGATCCCATTAATGCTCGTTGATGGATTACAATTGTTATAAGCACGCAAATGAGAGATACAAAATCGGTACTTTGCGCTATTATCATCAATGGGATTCGCCGCCTTCTCAGTTTTAAGCATAATTAGGTGCACTTGAAAGATTTGATCAGTATTTATCTTGGCTGCTGCTCACGCTGCTTGTAAATCGTGCATTATGCGTTTTTTATGCAGACCAAAGGAGTGATAAGCGGGTTTATAGGATAAGGACGTGCATGACGGCTGAATTGCGTTTTTTACACACGCCAAGTCTCAGCTTTACCTCAGTCAGACGTTTTTGACAATACTTTTATTGGATTAGATTGCGCATTTTTGAGCGACTGCGCGCGCTGTTTCATGTTGTGCACTGAATACTAAATTCCGTGTTTCATCGTGCGTTGTATGCGTTGTATGCCTTGTATGCGTTTACACACAGTCAAAAACTGTGCAAAATATTTGAATACTCTTATTGCTCTGTTAGAATTAACATCATGCTTGGATCACAGGTGTATTGATGTTCACTTTTATTAAGATAACTGGTAGCTTTGTCGCTAATTCAACACAAGGAAAATAACCCCATGATATGCATATCATGCTGAGAATTAGTCTAATGTCAAATTAAATACCAGACGTTTGAAAAAACATTCATGATAACAACAGACCTCATTAACATATACATTCTCGTCTGGATCTAAATTACACGCTCCTGGTTTGCAAAATTTAGACAGCATGCATTCAATCTACTGTCATATTGCATTGCGCGTAATTTTTGTACTTAGCATATAACGTGCAAGTTACCTTCAGGGAATAGAAGACTTCATGTCGTGTTTATCAATATCTTCCCTGCGAATTAATCTTATACCTCGCGCTCGCAACTTCTGCACGCAAATGCCCTTCAATGCATGCTGTTTACACGTCGTTCGCATGTTGTGACACATTCTTTGCTATTGTAAACAATCACGACTTGAAGGCATATTTCAAGGCATATTTCCAAATTTATATTTAGATACGAAATTTAGCTTCCTCTGATATTGGCATCAAACGTGGTATAAGAACTGCCTAAAATAAACAAAACACTTCTTGACGTTTCTACCTGAGGGCCGTCGTCAGGAGAGTTAAGACGATTCTCCATTACCGTTCGCTTTACCCGCGCGGGCGAAGCGGCTTTTGAATTTCTGTCCATGCGACCGTGACGGGACTGAAAAACAAAGCGCGCTTCGCCCGCGCGGGTGAAGCGGACGTAATGGAGAATCGCCTTTAGTATGATTATGTTACTAACTGTCGTGACGAAGGCCCTCAGGTCGAAACGTCGAGAAGTGAATCTCGCATTTTAGGCAGTTGTTATACCACGTTTGATGCTAAGATGTTTAAAGACGCTGCCACGCTGCTCCCTGGTTACACTCCTCTGACATTGTTTCAAATTGGAAACGGGAATTGCATGTTAACTATGTCGACGAGACTAGAACGATAGTTGGGCGAGGAGGGGTTGAGGTGTGGGGGATTGGGGGTGCGTTTATTCATATATTCAGTTCTGCCCGATGGATTTCTTTTGTAAGCTATTGACCTATTGCACTTACAATTGTCTCACCGTTCATTCACTCAAATATATTCTTACTGCGAACTGCGGGAGGCTTAAAGGGAGTTTCGTTGTAATTTGCTATATGAAATCAATCCCGACATTATCATTATAAATGCTTGTCCGTATACGGCGTAGGACTGGGACTGTTTCTTACAGTAGCGTAACATATAGGTGTTTATTGGTTGTAAAAACCATATAAATCTATAGGGAAATAAATAGTTGTTATAAATCTTGAAAGTAACGCATGTAATACTGAGCACAAACGTCTATTATTTTAATTCAAATTACACCAGATATTGTACAAGCTATATTATATTTCAGTAAAGTAAGACATGTGGTACACTATAGCTACATCAGAGTTCTATAATGGTCGTGATAGTCTATAATATACCTATTAAATAACTACATTGCAAAATGATATACTAAAACTATGTGCTTACTTTATAACTAACAAAAAAGTTACCTGTTATGCCAAAGAAAATGCCAGTATAATGTACGTTTCTCTGTAAAATAAGCCCTTAAGCTTCGGAGGAATTCGAACGAACAGTAGTGCTCGAGGGCAACTTGCAATTTTACCATTGATCTGGTCGGAGTCTAAAACTCTATTACTTCTGTTCACGCAGAACTAACTTAAACATTTACAAAATATTGACTTTACAAATTCAGGCCACCATTTTGGATACTAGTGCTTCCACTCACTCGTGGGGAAGCGCAAACAGTGAACGGAGCACAAAGTAAATTTCTTTTTTTTTGTGGTAACATTCATAGAGATTCTATGGTAACATTTACCACCATCTGCATTCAGTTCCGGTGATGTGGAAACACGTGCGCGACATTTAACATATAGGGAATGCAAGAAAGGGCGGTGTTACACTATGCAATTTTCCTTGCAACTTGCAATGCAATTATAATTTTGAGGGATGTTAAGTCGTAAAGCGTGTTTGGAATGATAAGAAAACGTTAGCAGATCTTAAAAAATGTTCGTATTTGACAACTTCGGATGCTTCAGGAGTAGAATTGCACCCCAAGAAGCAAAGAAAGTTGCATAGTGTAACACTGCCTTAATAAGTTGTTCTCAAAGTATTCATCAAACGTAAATCAGGTGTATACTGAAAGGCTGCAAACTCTTTAGAAATCAAATATGTATAAAAGTTTTATAATTTAATATTAATTTATACAAAGAGTACATAAAACACCGTTCGTCATGCTCAGAGTTATCTATAGTGGCTTGTTTTCTTCATAGATGATATTTGTTCGGTTGGGAGGAATACTTGTGTCCCAAACTCAGTGTGTATCAAAGGAAAGAGAAACGCTCACGAATGCGTTTGTTCACAAGGCTACCGGAAAAATGGACACAATTGTGAAGGTAGAGATGATTTAATCATTTTATCCAATGCGGATGTCACCTGGTTTGCATTGGGTTTAAGATCACAGGCAAATATCAACTTGCGCTGCATTCTTTGCATTGTGTTTTCTTTTAACTAACTTTGTATTTTAATTAGCAGAAAGCAAAAAGCACTTTCTATGATGTTATTTGCACGAGCCCAAAGAATATTTTTATGCGGTCTTTTTTCTTTAGTTCGTGTGCTTTATCACTAGAGATAAACCGAAGTACTAATATTGTGATAATATTTATTTGATGGTTCATTGTGCATCGTAGATATTGATGAATGTTCTCAAAACAATGGAGGTTGTGCGCAGGTCTGTTCAAACTCACCAGGCAGTTATGAGTGCAGCTGTAGAAATGCTGGATACAGACTTCATCTCAACAAACATGACTGTGTTGGTAAGATTTACTTCACGCATTTTCACTTCTTGATTAAAATTTTTTTATACCACACGTTTTACTGAATTATCATAGATATGATATTCGATTGCATCTATTGCACTGATGAAGGCCCGGGTGAAAGGACCCAAAGCTTTGCAGTATAAAATACTTACGTGGTGTACCTACAAGCTAATTTACTTATCATAGATATCCTGAATAATTTTAAACGCCTGCTCAAATCCTCTCAGAATACGATTTGGAAGACGTAGCCTTCCACCTTCCTGGTTTCTCTCTAACATGCACTGTAGCGTTTGGGTTCCCGGAGTTTGTTTTCCTAACTTCTAAGGCGTGTACGTCCAGGGGCAAACATTCAGCTCAGACCGCCAACGATAGCTCACCGTGTCTGAAATATCTTTTATAGATACAACAAAACTTGCACTCATCGCGAGAAAAATCAGATTGAGGATTCAAGTCAAGCAATGTAAAACCAACGCAAAAATTGCTAGCAACTTTCGACGAGACCTCCGTTTACTGATCTCAAAAGATATCTGTAGTGCGCCGTGTGAAATCCATGCTGTTACATTACGATGCCGAAAGAAACGAACAAATATACTTCTGACAAGTTTTGAGATCAAAATGGATCCAAATATGATCTTCGCTCAATCTCACTGTAATTCATCCTGCGTTAAATGTCTAACTGAGATAAAACTTCAGAAGATTATTTCAAATTTGAAACGTTTGGTTAATTCAGATAAATTCATTCTTCCCTTTGATGGCCAGAAATATATTCTGGATAGAAAAGGTATCAAAGGAATGAGGTGGTCCAGTGGTTGTAAGAGACCATCCAGAAGAAGTGGTAAGAAAGTTTTTGTAAAGCTAATCAGGGGGGGGGGGCGTGGCAAGTTAGTCAGGATTGGGGTGTGCCATGTGATTTTGACTAACTTCTATTATAAAGACACCCGGTTTTCCTCCGGTACGCGGCCACCTTTTTTTGCAAGACGTAACCTTAAATTTAAGTTTGGGAAATTTGTTTTTTTAATATAACAAAATGCGAAATCCAAGAATTCAAAAAACAATTCCTAATGTTTGGAAGATTTGTAGCATTATCGACCAACCGAAAAGCAGCTTAGTCTATTTCATCAAAGTAATTAGCGACAGATTCTGTTTACGTAGACTGGATAGAATTTAGCCCATTTTTGCACTTCTGTGAACAGTAGCTATGCGCTTTCTATTTTCCACGGAACGATATAAGATTACACTGTAGTTGAGATATCAAAAAGTTTTTTTTAACGAGGAAAACGAGTGAGCTTTTCAAACTTTTTCCTGAGTTTTGTTTATTTTCCGTCCACAGGATCATGCCGACGTGGTAGTTATTACGACGTCAAATCACTTCAATGTTTAAAATGCCCACGTGGTACGTATCAAAACCAAGATTCTGAGAAGTTCTGCTACCGTTGTCCTGGAAATAAAACGACACTGGAGGCAGGAGCAAGGAGTAAATCAAGATGTATAGGTGATTATACTTATTTATATTTAAGCACATGTAGTGCATGCTATATCTTCTGGTTTGTCCAGTCATCGTTGTGGCATCTGGAATAATGAACGCTTTCTTTGAAACTATTGATGGCGGAATGTTTTGAAGTATTTTCATCCCAAAGTAATCGCTTTACTGTCGACCGCCTTTACAGAAGTGAGCACAAGTTTCAAAGGAGGGATAGAATAATAGTTTTTGTAGAAGTGATCTAAAAATGTTGCATCAACCTATACTTAGGCCTATGAAGCGTGTTTATAGCTGGGGCAGTTTTCCCCGCTGAGACAACTTCTTTCCCCCTCAACCACTTTAAACTGTAATGACGTTATGGCAGCAGATTTAGTCACGCAAAAATATTTAGTTTTATTTCAAGAAATTTCTCCTTTATTTAGAGACGAGATGCGGTTGGTCATTATCCAATACAAAATCTGGTTTCATTTCCACCCCAAATTTTCCTGATCCCTTTCCCCCCGGAATTACATGCGAATGGTATATTGATACACTAGAAAACCACACTACGTTCTTCCTCATTCCGAAAATCTCACTGCCACAGACTACGCCATGCTCAGATTACCTCATCATACGAGAGACCACTAGTCCATATTCTGTGCATACATATCAAACATGCGAGAGTAATCCTGACCCTATTGTTATCGTCGCGAGATCAAAGAAAATTTATGTTAAATTTCAGTCGCGTAGCAAACGAAATGCTGGAGGTTTTAAAATGCGTTTTGCAACGTATAGAGGTAACGTCTCGCATTTTGTCTTTAATAAACATTTCCAATGGTTTTATTCCCAATTGCTCTTATAAAAATATTTCACTCTGTTTGTGGCTTCATGCCACACCAATGCTACCAGACCAGGTGTTACGACACATCAAACTCTATTCTGTCTGTTTGTGATTGAGTTCATTCACTAGTTTCCTTTGTTAAACCATCGTAAGCAAATTTTCTGAAAGGCCACACCCCAGTTTGACTGCCGATAAACCTAACGGCAGGCAACTTACCTTTGCAATAAAAATACTGTCAGGTTGAAAGTGGAAAACCCCGTTGGGTAAATTAATTACTGAAATATTCCAATATTATATGAAGTGTTTGTATTCTATTCTGCTCATACGATCAATTATTGTATAATGAAGTCCTGTTCCAAATTCTCTATGCGTTTAAGTTGTCAACTTTGAAGTGACACGAGAGAAAAGTATCTTCCTTTAATCAGGCTGGTACTCCAGGCGCAATATAATTGCCATATTTGTTTACATTTCTTTAGGCAAAGCCAATCAGAATGCCTAAATTTTAAATACTTCATGTAAAATGGTATATATTCTACTGTATGTCAAATTTTATGCATTCTGATTGGGTTACTGAAAATGTAAACAAACTTGCGGACTGGCTAAAACGAACTTCCTTCTTGTCTGGTAGATATAACATGACATGAAGATATCTCATTTTCTTCTTAGACTTGGTCCGAGATCTTGTCGAGGATATTATTCTTGATGGAAATATGTATAATCAGAAAAGTCACAGACAACTATTACAGGTAAACGCACAAAATTACAGGACCAACAATATTAGTTAAACGTCTATTAGAGACAATCTTGGCAATTCTGAAAACACGAAAGTTATGCGTTTCAAAACTGACACCTAAACTCAAAAATCAGCTTGATAAAACCAGAATAAATCTGGCTAGTAAATGAAGTTTGTTAAGTCTATTTTGTATATAATGTTTGAAGTTTGTAATTTTTCTTTTTATCTTAGAACGAGGACACAACTGACGATCTTTTTGCCGTATTGGGTGACCCAATTCGATTTCCAGAGTATTATACTGACGAATACCTTTCAAAATTGCCCCCATCCTTTGTACGATTCATTACAAACAAAGTCTCAAAGTACTTTTTTAACCGTAAGTAACTGTTTGAATATTCGGAACGTTGTGAAATACCAACTAAAAGTTTTCTGAACGATTTTTATGTAATATATAAGATTGTAGATATACAGCCGTAGCCCACTGTGGATAATTGCAGTGGAATACACATCAGTGTAATGTGAAGACTTCATGTAAGAATTTTCTTTTATATTCTATCATTGTTAACCTGTCTGGGCAGGAAAAATAAAAGTTTTATAAAAATAATATAATAAAAGAAAGAGCAACAAATTAGCCAACTGTTTTCAATATTAATGTCCGTAAAGTAAGATTCAAATTACTCAGTCTCACCGAATTTTTAGGCTGCACGAGAACAATAAACCACCATTCATAAATTTACCACCATTCAAGCAAAACGTGTCTTCTATGTTGATGCTTACAATTCTGGCAATGCATGTATGGAAGAATATCTTAACATTTTATCTATTTTACACGATGTATCAGGCAAAACAAATATCAATGTAACTTAAACCTGTTACTATTGTGGCTTAAGATCTTTTGAATTTACTTTTATAATTTTGCATGTATAAATGTATATTGATTTGCTCTGACACATATCATATCTCTATAATCTTTTTTTATAACTGATTTCTTGTCAAGTATTCTCAAAGTATTTGCCTTTTAGGATTTGAGGGTTTTCTCATGAATTGTTGGAAATCAGTTTAAAATATAATGAATCCTTCCGAAAATGTTAACATCATATCCTTAACAGTGTTAATTGTAAGCCTTGCCATAAAAACTGCTTTTCGTTCAGTATGAGAAGGCAATGGTATGGGTATTTCAATAACATATATACTCGTGTTCCTTTCGAATATATGTTGCACTCCTAGTTTGGCTTGCAAACATGCAATCCTTGTTTGGCTTGCAAACACTACAAAAAATTCAGTCTTCTAAGTTTTTTACGAACTCTTTTCTATTCTACGACGCCCCTCCATTGTTAAGGTTTTTCGCCCGCTGAAAATGTCTTGCAACTACCGCGATCATTGCAACAAGTGCCACTCCCACCACCATTGCCGAAGCAATCACGACGATAACTACCGAAGACACTACGACAGCGTTGTCGGAGGACTCCAGTTGAACTGGCTTCTCGCAATTTGTGTCGTTCTGTTTCGTAATATTTCCCTTATTTTCAACTTGATGTGTCGTCACCACGGGTATATTCTTGGTTGGGCTGTCGAATTCTGCTGCATCTTTCAATAACTTTCCGACATTATCTTGCTTCAGAATATTTCTCTCGGATCCTTTCTTCGATTTAGATGGTGCACTTGCTTTCGGTGATTCAACAATGATATCTGTGACCTCGCTATAATCGGTGGAGTCGACTGGATTGTTATTCTTTAATTTTTCTTTGGGTTCGAAAACATGTGATTTCGGTGTTGGTTCGTTCTGGTTGCCTGGGGGAGCATTATTCACACATGAGGAATAGACATATCAGATCACAAATGGTATAAAAATATCTAATATTTATCAAGGCAGCTACGGTATTTCTATTTTAAATATGATTCAGGGATTAGTGAAGGTAATTTTCATTAAGATTTCTGCCTTAACTTAGTGGTGATAGAGTAGCCTTTACACGTTTTCTATGTGAATAACTGTGCAGATGAACACGCAATGAAACATCGGGCAGTGCAAACTTGATGCTCTTTCTTGTTTACATTTTAGTAAAAAAAATCGATTGATGATGTCGAGCAGATAGGATTAGTATCATGGTTCATGACTGCAGAAATAATTAAATTTTTCAAATTGAAAAAACACTTCTAACATTACTCTGGTCGACAATTTTTCTTAAAAGACTCACTAAAATTGCAGTTAAGCAAGAGTTAACACACATCAGCTGTTTTTGTACACGTACCTGGTTTGAAATCATTCATCAGCCAGTTGGTATCCCCGGTTTCTGTTCCCTCAACATGGAACTTGTGTCCATCCATGATAATATCACCAGTGAATTTGTGTGGTGCAGGGAGTACTCCTGCAGTAACGTGAGGTTTGGGTTTGAAAAATGTTGACAGAGGTGAAGAAGGTGGGGCTTTTGCAGGTGGGGCTTTTGCAGGTGGTGTAATCTTCGGGGCGGGAGGCTTCTTTTGGGGTATTTTCGCCGGTTGCTCTGGCTTTGTCCACATGCCTGATCCATTATCATAATTGCTAGTTGCTTTTGTCTCTTCTTTGTTGACGTCAATAACGTCATAGACATTGGGGATATTCGTATCATCTTTCGGGGCCTGGCTGGATGGTGGGTTGTCAGTCTCATCAATAACGTCATAAACTTGTGGTAGATCAATTTTGATCTCATCTGAGTGTAGTTTGGATCCCAAGCCTTTATTTTCATCCTTGATCTTCTTCTCGTTTTTACTGCTGATAACGTCTCCAAGGGTGACAGGTTTAAGCTTTTTGGCCGGTGGTTTGCTGGGAAATAAGAACTGCGCGGTTGGAGAGATAGTTGGTGCAAACCCGCTTCCTACATCATCCATCAGCACATTTTGTATATCAATGACTGGTGGTTGAGTTGGTATCATCGGAACAAATGCGCTTTGGGTGGTAGCAGGAACAAAAGGTGCATCAGTTGGGGCCAATGGTTGACGTTGTGGCTCTATAAGATTGCCAATACCTTCAATAATCACGTTTGGTTTAACTTTGGTCACAGTTGTCGATGAGGAAATTTTATAAGGTTTGTGTTTTACTGTTGGTGGATTCTCCTTGTGGACGGTGGGTGGTGCAAGATGCTTGTGGTCGTCTTTGTGATGGTGTTTGGTAATATTTGCAAATTTCTTTGCCTTTTCTTTAAAAATCTTCTCATTATCAGCAGGAATGTAAGGTGCACTGCTTCCCCCGTGATCATTCATCTTGAGTTGGGCCATTGGATCTGGATAGATAAATCTAGGATTGGTTGAAGGTATTTCTGGGTTATCACGCCAGAATGTCCAACTCCCATCGTGCATGTCGGGCCTTGAGGAATTGTCAGACTCGGGATAGATTGGTGCTTTTGAGGCATTGGCAAAATAATAGAATCTCTCGAGCATTACTTTCATCGTGTTTGGCATGATTTCTGCGATATTATGGTACTCGCACGGATCCCACTTGATGTTAAAAAGACATGGTCGTTCTCGTGGTTTACATACTGGTGCATGGGTGAATAACAATGGATGAGGTTCACGTATGGTACAGTCAACGGTGGTACCTGAAAAATAATGGACGAAACATATTTTATTCTAGACATTTATTATTGAATATTACGCTATTTCTTCGAATGACGCCATTTGCAATTTCTGTTGTCAATCTATAAGATTGGCATTAGAAACAGACATGGTTCTTCTGCTTTCATGTGTCAAAAAGTTGTTGAATTTAAGATTCAATATTGCTCCTGGATAATAATGGCCAGGTATTTAGAAGATCTTTAGCACAAATAATCCTTTATCCGTGTCTTTACCTTCAATAATTTGTCTTCTTTTACGTTTATTCATCCCTTTGGGTATTGGAACACTCGGCCTTGGGTACCAATCTCCGTAATAACCATCATCTTGGTTTACAATCAATTTATAATCTCCAACGCGAAGGGCACCGGAGAGTTCACTGAAGGTATCCACACCATGAAGCACCTCAAAACGTGGCGAAGATTCTGAATTCGAGATGGTCTCCCAAATATTAAAACCATCAATCTTGCCAAGTGATTGGATGTTTCCTCCACCAGCTGCGTACAGAGTTGGGAGCCAATCAGTTGCATGGACAAGTTCGTCGCAAATTCGACCTGGAGTGAAAAAAAATCAAATGAAGGTTTCAAATGGGCTAAAAATAGCTTACGAATCTTAATTTATGGCCTCGAACAAACATTCAGACTGGTTTAGACGATAGCAGTTCACTTTATTCTTCTATAGACATCCGTCTGCCGGTTTTCGTTTCCTAATTTGTTCGACCTACGCTTTTCGAAGTCGCCCAAAATTTTTATAATTTACCTTTGTTTTTCAGGAGTGGGCTGTACACAAAGCCTACACCACGTACACCACCTTCCCAGAATGTGTTTTTGCTTCCTCGTAAAGGATAATTTGAGCCTGCGCTATTGTCATATCCACCAGCGGCCCCACCATTATCAGTCGTGAAGACAATTATAGTGTTCTGCATCATTCCTTTGGCCGTTAAGGCATCTGTTAGTTGCTTTAACGAGTCATCAAGCGTTGCAACCATGCCTGAAATGAAAGACGCATATTTGTGTAATGATAACTGGCGGGTGAAATTTATTTTTTAAGGCCAGTCTTTGATCCAGAGGGATTTAAAATTACCTGCAAATTTTCGTCTGGAAACATCTTTTATTCCAGCAAACATCTTGACGTATTTCTCGGGTACTTGAAGTGGATCATCGCCATTACCAACATGAACCGCTTGATGCGCCAAATATAAAAACAATGGCTTTTTTTTGTCGTAATCGTGGATGATCTTTCTTGCTTCTTTTGTGAATAACTCCGTACTATACGATCCACTTTCATTGTAGACCAGCTAAAAGAGATTTGAGTAAATATATGTTTGACAATTCCCTGCTTTGTGTACAGTGACGGTTATTCGTTAATAAATTTTATCCAATTCAACCGTCCTGAACTGGGATATGTCTGTGTTAGATATCAAAATCCCCTTCCCTTTAACTTGTTGTCATTAAAGGATTACTAAATAGTTTTCCGTGCAGGATTGCGTGATTCATGCACTCGGGATGTTGCGATCCTGCACGGCTGCCTGTTTCACTGTAATTATTATATAATATTTATTCTTAACTAAATACGTATTTAGGCCTGGTTCACACATGTTCTAAGAATCGGGGATCCATTGCGTTATTTTGCAATAGACAAGTGATTGTGCGCACCAATGATCTGAGACAAAAGGAATTCCAACTTCTTCCGACAAGTTTGATCCAGGCCTTTGTGCTGTGATAATACAATATACTGAGTTGTTCTTACATTCAAGTCTCTTCGTAAATCTAATCCATATCCATTATCATACGAGACGTGTGAATAATAATCTTCCGTATCCGTCCAGAAACCAAAGAAGGAGTCGAAACCACGAAATGTTGGGGTGTATTCTTTGGCAAAAAATCCCAAATGCCACTACGAAACAGAAATCAACAACGATAATAATTACGAAGCGAATGCATTGAAATTCTAATTGAAGACAATAATGCATTGAAATACACTCACGGAGCGGCAAAAATAGAAATAAATTAAGATATCTCAGCAATAACGTAAATGATAAGATCTCACACCTTTCCCACGCCATGGGCACTATATCCTAATTCTCGTAAACGGTTTGGAAGCAGTGATTCAGTGAGAGGTAGCCCGCTTGGCTGTTGATTATGAAAATCATCGTGCTGTAGACCTGTTAGAAAAAAAAGTTATTGTAACTGGGCTGTAACGCCGCGTGCAAGTGTACGAAACTATAATATTGACCTACCGAGATGACTAGCGTATTTTCCAGTCATAAATGCTGCTCTACTTGGTGTAGATAGCGGTGAAACGTAATAATTATTGAGAACAACTCCTTCTTTAGCTAAACGATCCAACGTTGGCGTTGGAATTTGATTAGAACCATGAAAACTAACATCATCCCATCCCTATATGAAAATATATTAAATGTCTTAGAGATTGATCAGTATTTTAATATTAGTAAATCCATTCATTTGCAACGAAGGAGTTTTTTAAACGCTGAGTAGTTTTTCTGTTACGTCGGTTACGAGAAAGAAACAGAAAATATTGATTCTTACAAGATCATCTGCAACGACCATTATTATATTTGGTTTCGTATACGCAGGTTGAACAGGAGAAACTAAAACTAGAACTAAGACAGAGACAACCACCACAGACATCTTGGTTGACTTTGTGCCTAAAAGAATTAAAAATTTAGTTGTTACTCGGTTGTTTTTCAAGGATTGGTTGACATATTAATTTCAGTTGGGAAAAATTAGGGGAGGCTGTCCTTGAAGAGCGATTTCTTACAAAGAGATTGAGATCTATCACAAGCATGAGTTTGAGTGCCGCCATGATTGAACTTTAAAGGTTTCTTAACACGATCTAATTTTGTTGGATCAATTCATTGCGATTTATGAAACGTAGCCTGATATTAGTAAAGAAGTACTGTATTAGTTTGCTATCCTATACAGTGTCAAAGTCACCAGCTGAGTTATAAAACATTCATCTAACAAAATTGGATCGTGCGAAGGGGCTAATTCGAGCCAATAGCTATAAAGCCTATATAATTTCGCAAATTTAAAAATTATGTGTTCATGGACTTCATTCAAAATTTCAAATTAGTGTACATACAGTGTCTTTGCTATTAGCGTTAATACTCTATAGTACCAAGCGATCTAAAATAAATGTTGCTAAAATGTAACTATAAACTGTGTTATACACTCATTTAGTAAAGATGAAGACACGTTAAATTTTCCCGCCAGGAAATCCTAAGACATATTTTTACAAGCTAGAATCAAGAACCCTTTGTTACCGACATGAATAATTAACAACATTTCACCTTTATTTTTGTTATATGTAATTAAACCTAAAATATAACTTAGAAAACCAAGTTTACTATCACTGTCGAATTATAGTCCAGTTTATTTGGCTGAGTACATTTAAGCTAAGTACGATGAAACATAATTATGTATAAAAATATTTAAAACCTATCTGACAGGTGCCTAACTCTGGTTCATGTGTCTCAATAGTTCATTGGAGTTATATTACAAAAGTTGATTTCAAATTGAGTCTTGGCTATTAATTTGAGCCATTTTTTGCTATTCAAGGCAGCATATAAAAGTGCCAAGACTGGCATTTGGCAGCGCTAAATACGGAAACAAAAATTCTTTCAAAATGTAATATTAAATTCAAAAGCCGTTGCTTCTTCCTTGATGACAATGCAATTGAATAAATATGTTAATCAGAACTAAATGATCTAATAACATCAATATGTGTTTACCTCCAAAATTTGTTGTCATATTTGCGTAATGAATATGGAATTCAAGTTTTCATATTTTTCTCATGAGTAATGATAGTTGAATCATCTGCCACGGTGGATGGTCTTCACGGTGTTGTGGTCTTGAGCTTTATGAAGCGGGCTTGTAAGCAAAGTAAACGTAGTAACGCAAGATTATTGAATTGACAGGTGGCTGTGTTATGAGAGAGAAATATGAACAGGTAGGTTTTAACGCCGCTAGATTTCGCACAAAATATGCTTGCTGAACCGTAGCTTGCTGAAAGTTTGAAAATAAACAAAGAAAAGCACGGAACTGTCATTTGAATAAAATTGTAACATTCAGTACCACTTAGTATATCTTCATTTGCAACAAATATAATCCACGTATAAATACATTCAAAAGTGTAAATTATAAATGATAGATTTGTACATTACCATTTCAGCTTAGATCAATCGTGCGAGGTTAAATAATACTTAGACGGCGACAGTTTACTCTATAGTCTATACAGTCTCGCATATGACCGACATGATTATAATATATAGTTTAAAAGGAAGCCCTTAAATCCCTGAAATGTCACAGGGTTCATCGGAAAATTGTAACTTATTAATGGGCTAAGAACTATAGGAAACTGGGTGAAAACGGGGCTTTGATGCAGTAAAATCAGGAATTGAAAGTTTTATGGCAATAAAGCACGAGTTTGCATCTCAGACTGATATTATATAATTCAGTACATAATAGAATAACTTAGTAAACATTTCTATTAAAGTTTAGCAACATATAATTATTCTATTATAGTTTAGCAAAATATAATTACTCCATCATAGTTTAGCAAAAAACTTGAAATTCGTTTTTAAGTTAGTTTGATTTATTTTTTGCCTATAATTTAAATTGGATCTTGCAATGATTTCTTGCTTGAATGGTTTTACCGGCACAAAGACACGTTGTAAAATCTTCAAGTTTAAAAGATGCCGTGAAGCGTACAGTTATGTCAATAAGATGGATCGCTACCCGTTGACTAGAACCAGTACTCTTCATTAGAGCGTTAAGTTGGAATATCTGCGAGGAATTTGCAACCAGTTACGAGCAATCGAAGCATATCGAATCGACAAACAAAATATATCGCTTAATAATATCGTGAAAATTGTAATATAGACGCGTAGTGGAGGAATTAGGGATTTTTTATTCCAAGTGAAAACGAATTATTCAGTTATATTTGGATAACTACACAACATCATCTGACCTTGGTAAAAAAAAATGCCTTAGTTAAACTTTTAATGTAAACAAGGTCACCAAAAATCAATTTTCTGATCGGTTTAAGCAATTGAAGTTTTGTCAACTAACCTGGTCTCAATTCCGTGTGAATCCTACAAAGCACATGAGTAATCGCGCAATCAAAGCAAGTAAATATAGGGACCATCAGGTGTATCTTAACCAAAAACATCCCTCATTTCCCCTTGTAATCCCAAACTAACCACATTTTTACACTGAAATATCCACGTAACTCTTCCACAGGACTAGTCTCGTTAGACTCGTCTCCTTCCATTGGCACGTCTCCTTAATGTAAAAACAATGAAATTGGAGCTTTTGCACGTTCATATTATAATATTTTCCATCATTCACAATGCTATTGCCGTCGAGAGGCTCAGGGCTGACGGGGGGCATGAGTGTTTCATAGTGTATATGGTCACTCTACCAACTTGGGGTAAACAGAAGCGCACCATGCCAGCAAAGCTAATGGTAGTTTTTGCCTTGTTTTTCAAGATGCGTTAACGCTCTAAGGCTGCTTCCTCTTTGGGTTAGCGCAGTCGTCAAAATCTTAATCATGTGATACATTTTATATCTGTTAATGTCTCTACACCCGGAATTTGCGGAAAATCTTCTCTGTGTCTGTGAAAATACTCGTCAGGAATATTTGCTTATTCTTAATCTTCATCGAAACACAGTTGTTCTGAACATTGACCCTGCCTGTGTTAGAAAACTAGGCCCAATTCTAATTCCAGGTTTACTCCTTCTATTTGATAGAGGAAACTTACTTTTGTAGGATAACCCCAGCGCGCATGTTAAACCTGCGATTTCTATATAAAACATATTAGACAGAACACTCAGGGTGACTCTTAGTGGAGTAACCTTTCTGCTAGGGACACCCTACCTCCATGTAAACAGGACGATGAAAGATTTCTGGTTGGCATTTACATTATTAGTCCACAAAAGTAATGAATTGTCCAGATCTTCCAAGCGAACCGTTCAAACGTTTCGCGAAGCGGTCATTTAGTAGGGTCATGTCCTCTTTTTGTTTAACGAACTTCAGATTAATTCCTCAGGTAATTACGCCACTCCGTCAATCCCTCGCATATAAAACTAAAAATATACTATCAAGTATGAACAGTCCAACACACTCATTTACCTTCCCGAGTTTATTGTTTAATCTCGCAGTTTATTTTCGTGTATCTTATGACGTCATTTTCGCCTCTTATTCTAATTGGATAAGCTAAGCCATCGACGAAACGGAACGTTTGCGGGGATTAATCTCGAAGGGTTCACATTTCTTGAAACAATCATCAACAAACTCAACGCTTCCTTGTCGTCGTGTTTATCAACATGAAAAACACATTATTTTCTGTGTTTACTGCTGCTATATTCTTTCTGCTCCATGTCAGGTATGCCTTATTCTTAAACATCTTATGTCAAATAAACCAAATTTCAGCATTATTTTATTTGTGGCATCATGTCAAAATGCGGAGACTGAGAGAATGACATTGTGAACATAATAGCCTCAGATTCAGGATACAGTTGCCTCGTTAAACTAAAAATTGTCACAGAAAGAGAACCAACATGACTGCTTCGATCAAAGTCCACACGAGGAGTGTAACAATTTACATAAAGGAACACAATTATCCAGCTAGCACACACAACGTTATCCTAGCACGTTAGTTGAACTTTATTTAAACGTTGGCGCCGAACGTTGGCTGAACGTTGCATTTCCACCGGACATTAGGTTATATGAACATTGAGTTGAACGTTGTACGGACGCTTTATTAACGTCGGACTGTAACTTTGTCCCTGTGCGATAAGGTTTGTATCGCCAGATGTGAAAGTATATGATCATTTGTACGTCATTGCAGTTAGTGCATTTTAACAAAATCTGAGTTCAATTCCTAATGTATGCCGTGATGGCAGATTAATCTCATTATAATGTGCGTCATTTGCGTAACTTGAATCCTGACATCTGGCTAAAATATGAGAGGTTTTTACGGAGACTAACCTTGGTTAACCTGTTATCTCGTATTATCGCGGAAATTCACTCTGCGGAAATTCACTCTGCGGAAATTCACTCAGTTGCTGCGTGCTATGAATGAAATTGTGTGTAAGATGAAATATCAGCGTTGGAGCGGCTAGATCGACACTGCTTGCAATCCTGATATGTTGAAAGCAGCAGGCATAAAAATGTCACTAATTCTGCAGCTATATATGACAAAAATCTTGAGGTATTTCCATTTTTCAGAAATTTTGAGGATCTTTGGGAAAAATCTTGTTAGTCGTTATAGTGACCCAATTGCAAATGAAAGAAACGTCATAGTTTGTGCCATTGCAAAGCAATAACGTGTTTCCCAAATATTGTTTTTTAAGGAATAGAGCGTTCTTGCATGGGACAGCAGTTGCGATTTCATTAGTTTTTGGAGTGCGATTTCTTAATGAGGGGTGCGAAATTATATTAATATTATTCCTCACCCAGTGAGGAGGGCTATGCTAGAGTACTAATTCATATTGCATTTTTTTGTACGAGAGCTAAATATTTCCAACACAAGTTTTAATCATCTTCCCGCAGATGTTTTTTATGGGAATTACAAACCTTGACCGAATTGCAAATTCTGGACGGCCCTGTTATTCTGTTTTAGCGTGTCACTGCTTCAGAACTCTCTGACGCTTTTCTTGTATTTAATAAATTTCCCGTATTATTTTCAGTCTACTAAAGCAACTGCGGAGTCTTCTCAGCCTATTAAATATTCCAATTACTGTAGATGAATGATAAATTTTTAGTATATTATTTCACAGAATCGACTGTGTACCTGTAACTCCGACAACAGTACCAACTCAAGCACGTACAAATTCTTGTAATCTCAAAAATATTGAAATCCGTCTCAACGATATGGCCATTAAAATAGATGCTGTTTGGAAGATCTTTGCTCCTTCAAAAACAGGTAACAGTGTTTAATGGTTTAAACTTACCAATTAGTATAATCAGAAAAAAAAGTCTGGATATTAACAACTTTGACAACTTTAGATACATCAGGAGTAGACTTACATTGCAAGTTGCAAAAGTTGCCTACAAGTGTAACATCGCCTTAGCTTTCGGCAAGCACGAAGTTGTTTTTTTTCAGTTTTATTAGGTGTTTTTAAATTTACCTTTAGTTTATAAACTGCACGTATATATTATGTTTTTATGAAATTCACCTAAAATTGTTTCTTCACAACCTGTCGAGCTTGATTCGCATTCGTCACTGACGGTCGGCGATGCAAATTGTTGTTGATCACATCATCGGTGCATAAAATGGAAAGAAGAAACTATTTTAGGGAACGCTAACAATATACTAATTCTCACGAATCAAAATATATAACATCAAACGATTAATGAAGAGGGCAGCCTCGTACCCAGGCGCTTTTATAGTAAATATATATATGCTGCATTCAGGTATTGTATAAAGGTCAGCTTAAAAAAGCAAGCGCGCAGGGGTGCTTGGGGTGGTCTTGTTTAGCGAAGAAGCTCCCTTTGCGAAGACCACCCCAAGCACCCCCACGCGTGCGCGTTTCTTCAGCTGACCTTTATACAATTACTGAATGCAACATTACGTGCTCAACATTACGTGCTCAACATTACGTGCTGAACATTACGTGCTAAACATTACGTGCTCAACATTACGTGCTGAACATTACGTGCTGAACATTACGTGCTGAACATTACGTGCTCAACATTACGTGCTCAACATTACGTGCTCAACATTACGTGCTCAACATTACGTGCTCAACATTACGTGTGCTCAACATTACGAATACTTTGCTCTTTCCAGAAAAAAACTGCGCGGAGTATTACAAAAAAGGAGTGACAACAGATGGAATTTACTCAATTGACCCCGACGGAAAGGGAAGTTTCAAAGTGTTTTGTGATATGACAACATCAGGTGGAGGATGGACTGTATTTCAACGTCGTCTTGATGGAAGTGTTGACTTCTACCGAGGGTGGCAAGATTACAAACAAGGTTTTGGGGTGCTGGATGGTGAATTCTGGCTTGGATTGGATAAAATTCATAGACTAACGAAGTTAAAAAGAAATAATCTTCGTATTGACCTTGGAGACACATCGGGCAATACAAGATATGCCGAATACAGCTATTTTGCTGTCACGAGTGAACGAGCAAAATATCAATTGGGCGTTGGAACCTACTCTGGTAAGTACTGTTAGCAGAGAAATATCAAGTGTAAGAGTGGTGTGATTCTAATTAGCTAATTGTTTCTCTTGCAGTTATAGCTATAGTTATATAGTTATGGCGCCTATTGTAAACACTCATTTTTCCAAGCTGTCGTAAAAAATGTGTCCTGAGTGGAAAAATTGCACGCTCAAATCTACGCCAATAATTAGCAGCAATTTTTTTATCATCAGTGTTTTAGAATATTTCATACAGTGTCAAATTATACTATGCATCATGTAGGTACGGCTGGAGACTCTTTCACATACCACCGAGGATCGGCATTTTCAACAATCGATTCAGACAATGATGATTATCATGGTGACTGTGCAGTTATGTATAAAGGTCCATGGTGGTACAAAGCTTGTTGTTATTCCAATCTTAATAGTATGTATTACCATGGTGCTCATAGTCACGGAGATCACAAAGGCGTCACCTGGCGGCACTGGAAAGGAGCTGATTATTCTCTGAAAGACAGTGCAATGAAGATTAGACCAGAAACGTTTGGAATGTGAGAACCTAATTTAAATAATGTTCATAATGATCATCAAGAACGATCTTCAAAAATTGTAAAGTTCAACATACTGATAACAATTGATTCCAATCATATCTTTCTATTACGAAGCAATCATAGGAAATGTGATAGTTATAAAAAAGTGGTAATAAGTAAACATAATTTTGGTATCTCCTGCAGTGTTTTTTGTCAAGTCATAGATATTCTCTTTTCAATATGTCCCGTTTTCTCCTGTGTTGTTATTTATGTCTAATTTCGTTTGGTTGTCCTAATAGCCATGTCTGTTCATTTACTAAGCGCTTAGCTGCTTTTTGCGTCTAGATCAATGAAAGAGCAATGAAAATTTTGATTACAAACTCAAGTTAGAGATTTTCATAATCCTCTTTACTTTTTGAGATATTCGCCAACACAAATGTACGTCCTTTGTTTGTTTGCTTGTTTGTCTGTCATGTCAGATTTTGGTAATTTTATTCCCTGATCGAAGTGCATAATAATGCAAGTCTTCTTCGCAAGTCTTCTTCCACAGAATCAATATTGCTTCTTTCAATCTTTGGAAAATATTAATTCTTGGAAAGCAATAAAACTATTTATATTGGCCCAACAAATGATAAAGAAAATTCTACGTTATGAAATTAAGTTTATAAACACATATTGCTATCATGAGCTATTAATCAACTTATGTTGAACGTGTTCACCAAATTTCACAGTGGATTAAAACTCAATCAGGGTTGGTCATCTCAAAATCATGCGATATGACGGAGATTGTATATAATAATTTGGCGTGCACGTCTATGTGAATAAGATAGTCAAGTTACGAAAAGCAATATAATCAAAATCCCAGAACTTAATTTCATACTAACTGTGTGTTCACACTATTCAGTTTAGTTGAATTAACCTTCAATTAAATACACTTCCCAATTGCAACCCATTCTACTTTAATTCCCACGAAAACCTAAATATTTCGGCCTGGTTATATATTACAAGTTCATTGAATGAATCTCACACCCTCCATCAAGTAGACTGCTCGTCAAACTCATTTCTTTGGCATCTAAAGCTGGTTGTTCGAATAATGGAATCTGAAACATTACACTGATGTAACTGCAATTGGTGCTTTTTCATCGTCGTCTTCGCGTGTTGTCGAAGGAACGCCTAAGCAAGAACAAAAATCAATTATTCATTGGATATAATTATGTTAGAATGGAATATTAAGGTGCTTTCAAAAAGATTTTCTTCAAGGAATGCTTGATATATAATACTACTTGGAATGCTAAATGCTTTGAACAAGTTATGTGAAATAATATAAACTGAAGATATACTCTTGATAGCTACAGAGATACACGGTGTATGGACGATTTACAATTGCAAGCGAAAAACTGTTCTACCATATACAAAAAATTATCATTCCTCTTTGCATTCCTTATTTGGTTCAATTTTTCTAAAGGAGACCTTTTTCTAGAGGAGTTGTGTACCTTTAGTCGGTTTGAAAAGACGATCTTGCTTTTCTTTGTGCATGGCTTTGTGAAGCTAAGGGAAAGATGAAGCAGATTAATGTTTATCAGATGCACGAGACGCGTGGATAGGGACAGTCTCCCTGTCCCAATAATTCCTCAGAACTAATGTATTGGGGCAAAAATTATTGCAGATTCTAGCAAAACAGAATAAAAGATGTTTTAATGCTGAAAATAAAATTAAAAATTCGGTCATATATGTCCAGGGCCGTAGCTAGACCGCTTAATTGGGGGGGGGGGGTGTATATTCATATGTTCATGTTTGTATACCATAGGAACAATAGCATACAAAAGAGATCATTCGGGCATAAGACAAATATATGAATATGCACCCCCCAATTAAGCTTCTAGCTACGGCCCTGTATATGTCTACCCCCATTATAGACTATTTTCATCCACAGACATAATGTATCAGCCGAGGCTAGCGTTTGACCTAAAAACATACCATTCGATTCAACACTACGTGAGAAACGACTAACATCAATGCTTGCAAGATGTTGAAAATGACGAAAAGATATTTCAACGCATTCTGATTCTGATGAAATGCAAGTAAACCAAACAACCACGTGAGTCCAAGCAGCGGAAGATGCACCAGAGCAGCGCATCTTAGACCAAGAATTTCTCTTTCGTGTTCATGTGCCGTGTCCTCTTTTGTCTGCGTTATGCATAACTCTTGAGAAGATGAAGCATGTCGGAAGGCAAAGAGAAAGATAACGACGTTGATCTAAAACAAAAAAACAACAACAACACAAATTGTTCGTCCCCAAAATTTGCTTTAGTGATGGCTCTAAAATATTTATGGCTTTCTTCAAAGAGTAATTATATGACATCCCCTCAGTCCAACCCTGGTACAAGAAAACGACTTGACATTTCAAGGGGATTCATTAAGGGGATTCATTAAGGGGATTCTTCAGTTATTCAATTTGACAACTCTCCTAACGAAAGTTCTAAGGGCTTTAGGCCAAAATGAGAAGATGAAGTTTTGTCGATGCTGCTCAAATGTTGAGGATTTTTAAATTGATTATTATAATTACTCCTTTCATTAGAAATTGAGGTTAATGACAATCAAGCAAAATAATAGCATAGCAGAACTAAGACTATATTTGAACACGGTTAGTTAAAGTTTTGGAGCATTTTCGTTTTCGTGGCAAAACGGAAAAACGTGGCAAAAATGCCGTCAATTTACAAAAGAAGTTGAAGCTAAATGAAGATATTAAGCATATTTCCCCTGCATCATGTTAGCAGGTCGTTAGAACAATAGACTTGTCAAAAACGATTTTGAAAACGCCTAAATCGTCAGGCTGGCTATACCTTGTACTGTTGGTTCTTTAAATATTTTTTGTGTGTGATTTCTTTTAAATTAGCAAATCAGATAAATACGTTGAACTTCGCTGAAAGATTCGTGTGAAGACTTACAAGTAAAATTGCACAAAGAGAAGCAATGAAAATCCAGAATGCTTCACTTCCACTACGGCACCAACATACATACTCGGTTATGAAATCACCAAAATCGTCTACTCCAGTAGCTAACGTTAATAATACAATGATAACTGGGATACCTGAATGAGAATCGATAGCAGTATTTACTGTAAAAATAACTGAAAATAATATAGTTGAGATTGAGATTCAATTGTTATCGAAGACGAATACAAAAGCTGCCTATAACATTGTTTATAAAAGTACTTAGTCATAGTAACTGGTTTATAAAACTACTTACGCCTGTATTCAAAAAGCTCACTCACACTCATCGAGTGTGGCATATAAATTTTGTTAATGCTGGTGAATGAGAAAGTTTTCTTTCAATAGATGGAAAGATATAAGGTAAATCACTGAAAATCAAGCCCCTTTTCGGTTGGAAATACCGCCATGGAAACGTTATGAGAAGTTTGAGTGTGAGTGAGCTTTTAGAATACAGGCGTTAGTCTACTAGAAAACTTTTAATGCTTGGCGAAAAGCAAAATTAGGTCTAGTTTCCGTTTGGTTTTTATGCCTGTCTCTTTAGTGACAAATGGTAGACAGGAAATAGTGAAAGTTTATCACGTCTTTTGTTGAAGTGTGGCAAATCAGTCTTCACCAGTGAACTGTAATAAAACCTGGAACGTTAACTTGGCCGCCATCTTTGAAGCCAAATATGAAGGTGTACGCGGAATATGAAGCCAATTGAACGTTTAAGACAGACACGTAGAGATTAATTATCTAGGAACGTCTAGAACTATGTAAAATCATACAGTCACTTGCTAATTTTTATAAAAAGTCAGTCAAAAACTCAGTTTTTGCTTCAATTTTTGGCTTAATTCAGTTAAGTATTACGCTGAAATATAGGAGTTAGCGTTCCAGTTGATATTACAGTTCACTGATTGCAGAGATGTAATGGCACTCTTTAACATCCACCACTTGTGAGTTGTCATCACAGTGGAAAGCAACGATTAGATGAAAACTGGGCGTAAGAGACTATACAAAAATTAAGCCCATTAAAGGCATTCAGACGAGGCAATGAAAAATGGATGTAAATTCATAAATGTAAATTATAACTATACTCACCCCAATATATGCCGTAGAACGCTTTCAAAAATTTTCCCCAATAATCTGAAACCAGGTAGACCTTCGCAAGTCGAAAGAGAATGATAAATCCTTCGCCCAACATCCATCCAAAAAGAACGAGTAGAGCAAAATACAATAATATCGATGCAGCAATACAGAATTTCTAGAAATCAGGTCAAATAGAAAAATTGAATGAAATCTGTAAGAGCTGTTACTTGCTATTCTATAATTATTGCGTTCAAGCTCAAAACGTTATCTCTGCAATAACTGGCTCAGGGATTGGTTAAGTTTTAATTATTTGTCACCTTCAGACTGTTAGGTATCGACTTGAACAATGTATTGAACAATGAAATGGGAAAAACCCACGCACACCCAAGAACAGTATCGAACGGGTAGTGTCGCAGCTCCTCGCAAGAATGATTTTCATTGATTTTCACTTTACAATACATTTCTGTTACAACCTATTTCATCATAGAAAAGCATTATCTATCCAACTGAACGAAATCTTCCGAGCAAAGTGACATGTCCCTATCTCCATCGAACCGGAGATGTCCAAACAGTAGGGTACATGCAACTAATGACTTTAAAACAAAGGAATACGAATATAAGTTTAAACCTTTAATTACGTGCCTTATCGATCAAAAAGCATGAAATGTGCACGTTTCAAGTTTGAAACTTTTGGCTTCGCACGACTAAACGTTTGTTTAACGCTTTTGTTTATTATTCATGGTTCAAATAATATGTGAGCTTTTTGTTTAAAGGCAAGCAAGTCATTATAGTTGAAACATAAAAAACCCGTAAATAGTTATAGATATAATCATTGCTTATACTATAAATTTCTAGGTGACTATATTCGCGTTACCTCATGATGTAGAGCGGATTCAGCGATGATGCAAAAGATATTTGCGATTACAATAGCGACGCAGAGATTCATGAGAACTTTAGATGGAATTTTGGCTCTCTCATCAAGCCTTCTCCACAAGAAAACGTGCGCAAGTATCGTAAGCAATACACAAACCAGTGATACTGTGCAGCCAACAATTGACATTGGGTGAACATTAGATCTTCTCACTTCACGATGGCTCTCCTTGAAAAATATTTAAGGCCCATTTACACTTTCACTGCGATTTTGTGTTTGATTTTCTCCTTATAAACGAGTGAATTAGTTACGGATGTTCAAAATAGGAACTCGTACACATCAGAGCATTCGTAACTTATTACTCGTTCAAAGGAAACGAAAATCGCAGCAAAAATCGCAAATGTAACGAGTATTTAGCCCGAGTTATGTGTGATACTCAAGTATTGTCAAGGATAGACTGAATTGAACCTGAGCCTGAATTGATTGAACCTGAAAGCATTGAAGTATCGCTATATGTTATTGTTTTTAAACCCCTAGTGTATAGCTATCTTCAAAATTTGACGAAAACGAGGGGCTGTCAGGGACCCAGGGTGTCAAGTTAAGCGGGGCATCCGGGGTTCATGTTCCCCTGACCAAGCAATGTTTTGGAGAGCTTACTCTGTGACAAAAATAAGAAGTGAAGACAGCGATTGCGTAGACAAATATTGGGGGGAAGGGCGCAACGGTTGGTTTCACAACTGAAACAGATAAACATTGGCAAGCATATAGGTATACACTGGGTTACACGCCTGGTAACTTTTCGCCAAAACAAAGCAGCGATATGAATTGAAGGATCACTCGTTCATTACTTATCCGAGAAAAAAGAAATAATTCCCAAGGTGTTTATCAAAAGATAAGTAAATCGTAGAAAAATTATAGTAAAAAAAAATTGTAGTAAAAAAAATTTAGGACGCATGGTACAGGATGTCTGATTCAAATCGAGATTGGCTTTTGAATATATGTGTTAAATCAAAACAAAGTTAATTTGTCCTCCATGGAATGCCTAGAGTGACGTTATATTTATCTAAGTGTCCACTTGATATCCACACAAGTATCCACTTAGTATCCCCGCATTCAGTGTTTTTTTTTATCACGTGTCGAAATAATTATATTTTAAAAATTGGATGTGTGATCAAGTCAATTCAACTTTTCTTTCTGCGTTCTTAAGAAACAACAAATTAATAGGAAAAATAAAGGTTAATTTGATCTTACCAAATTTCTGAAAATTTCTACAAAAGCGAAGGCTGCCAGCTCCTGACATTCACATGTAATGCGGTGATTATTTGACTCATCAAACACCTCTTCACATGCAGCTGTTTTCCATCCACTTTCACTTAATTCAGGATTCCAGTGAGCACATTTTCTGTTCTGCAACACACAATATTTCCATTTCTAATTATTTCTAGTAGTATTTCATAATTTTCACATTGCTTACTTTACTTATTCTTATTTTTATCATATTCCATGCCTTTAATTTATTTTACTAAATTCAATAGGCATTTTCAGCTTGTATGCAAATTAATCCACTTCAAGTCAAATGGCCTGAAAGTTTTATTGGCAATTCCATGGTCACAACATCTGAAATAGTTAATTTGTATGCAAGCCGAAAAGGTCTATTTAGAGAATATTGTCACTATCACCGCCATCTTTGAAAAATTTTGGATATCGTTTCAAAATTGAAGTGAAGACTAGCGTTAGGCCAGGACAATGGATTGATACACTATCACGAAGCCTGGAATTTTTCAGGGGACGAACTATACCTCCTTCTCCGCAATAAATTCCGGAAAGAGTAAAATTTGGTCGATATATTTAAGGCTTTGACGACTTTCGAGCATACAGAGTATGGTTTGAGGGTAACGGGATAGAGTATTTTATACTTGTCCAGACAATAATATTGCATAATACTGCATAATCTCAATATATCTAATTTTAAAAATTTTGAATTAGAAGGATAGAAAATAAATCGGTAAAAGAATCCTAAAATGTGAAAATGAAAGGTAAATTTATCTAAACCATTGATACGAATATTGTTGTGATAAAAGACAACCGACCTTCTTTGTTGATTCTTTTGTGTCCCAGCTGATTCGAACAGGTTCTTCCAGATTCTTCATTGGATGAGGTTGAACACTTGCGCTGATGATTGTGCTATTTATGATACCATTAATATCATCTTTATCATCTAAACCGTCCGTTAGAAAGCTGTTCAATGTTTTATACCAAACAACGGCGACCACAGCACCAGAATCTTTAGCAAGTGCATCAGGTGAAAGAACAAAGGATGCATTTGGAAAATTAAAAATTCCTCTTTCTGGCGTCAATTGACTTTGGTTTGTGTATTCAACGCGTAACTGGATGTTTGAACGGTTATAAAATATAGCAGAAGTAGATGCATCGTTTTTTAAGGCTTCTCCTTGCTGAGTTGCATAATTTTGCAGTGTCATTACCAGATCGCCGATTAATTTTCCGTCCTTTTGATAACGAAATGAATCAAAGGTTAGTACAGAAGGTAGGAATCGATATAAAATATTGCATCAAGCAAAAGGATAACCCAATCCAATCTCCGAAATAACCATGGCCCTGTGAGCCTTAGTAAGATTACATCATCGCAAAACTTTGAAAACAAATTAGAATAAGAGCGCTTTTCTTCTTCCGACAAACAAGGTTTCACGGTTTGCAATGCTTTTTCTTGTAAAATCGGGCATTTTCGATCGATACACAATTTCAATAAAAACATCGCCCAGAATGCTACAAATCGCATTTGCTATTTCTAATTTTCTTACCTTCATAGTTCTCCAAGCATCTGCATTCCTAGGATCCAATATATTGTTTACAGGACCCAAAACATCAAGATCAGAAATGTTCAGATTAACTATTTTTTGAAGTATTCGGACCGCTTCAGTTAAATTTTGTTCGTTCATTTGGCTTGTTTTACCCGTGACTGCGTCAAGATTTGTTACGCAGGTCAGATCTTTGATAATCTCCTGTGCGACGTTTTTGCGGTCTTCAGTGGATTTGTCTTTACGATAGAGTTCGTATGCCTTGAACATGAATCATGAACCAATGTTACCAATCAATTAAGACTTTTATAGTGCGTGCGTGCTGATTGGTCGAGAAGCGTGTTTCTATAACTGTAAAGAAACACAGGACTTTTCCCGCCTAACTTGACAAGCGAAGTAATGTAATGAGAATTTGTAATTGAATCGAATTATAATATTTGAACAAAATCGTTTTTTGAGTATATTATAGAAGAAATAGAAAACATTTTTTCCTGTGTTTATATACAGTTATAGAAACACTTGTGGAAGTTTGGGAGAACTCGTTTATGGGCTATGGCCTCGTTTTTCAAACTAATAGATAAAAAATGTGAAGAAATATAATTTTATCTCTTACCTCTTCATCCAGTCTATCCAGCATTCCAACGCTGAACTTGCTATGCAACGTGTCTCTCGCCGAGAAACAGATTGGATGGAATCCTAAACAATGCAATGCGTTCTCTAAACTAAATACTTTATTACGTGAAAGTGATTATGAGTTTCATTTCATTTCCTGTCCCATTTCCTGTAAAACCATCGACTACACACTGAATGATTTGAAGTTTTTTTACGCAAAACATCAACATTTCTGTGCCCCTAATCAATGTTGAGTCTAATGCTAAATGCTTGAATGAGTTTTGACACATCACTCAACATTGATTTGTTGTGGCAGAACAGGCGATAATTTTAAAATAAATCCCTCGACTCTTGTCGACTGTAGTGTCAATTAACATTGAGTGTCTTCAAAGTTTTAACCAGGATTGTAGGTAGCTCGTGTAGGCAACCAGTTTTCGGCCTTTCAGCCAAGATTATACACCCAAAAATGTTAAAAAGTAATACCTTTGCAAAACGTTCCATTTCCTGAAAACCCATCTTTACAAATACAGGTGTATGATCCAATGGTATTCTGACAAATAGCATGAAGGTGACAACTTTGTGTTCCCAGAGCACATTCATCTTCGTCTAACGTAAGTTTCAATTTTCAAAAATACTGTATTCAGTAAAGGCGTGTAAATAGTTATTATAGAAATAATAGACAGTTATGCAATTCGAATTAAGAGAGATGATCTTTGTCAAAATATACATCCGGAAACTGATATGAATAACTGCCAAAAACATTAAAATTTCAAACTTTCGACTTAAATAAATTATCATATATATAAATGGAATTATATGTTCCTTTTTCCTATGAAAGTACTGTGGAATGTGTTGTAGCTCAATTACAAATTCATTTAGACTCGAGTTTGATATTAAAACTACTATAAAACTACAGAAGATTTTGGCAATATCTAAACTATTGTGGTCCGGGATTAAATTATATTTCACACGATGTCAGCCTCACATTATTAAGAAAATATGCAACAATCAGCTTTATCGGCTTTTAACTTAACAACCAGTATCTTAAAGCATAGTTAGTTTGTGAACTGTACCTTTGCAACTCTTTCCATCACCTGTCCATCCTTGATCACAAGTACAGATGTAGGATCCAAAAGTATTGTTGCACGTGGCTTGACGATGACATGTGTGAGTCTTCAACGCACATTCATCCACGTCTATTGTTGTAAGATTTAAAACAAATATCTGTTAATAATATTATTTGTAACTCTATTGATACTTCAAGCATTTCCCGATGCAAAAAATATTATTTAAAACTGGATGTTTTAACAGGTTTTCCATGAAGAAGTGCGCAAAAAGACGTACTAGTCACGAAAAAAGACTAGATAAGGACCTTTTTTCTATAGTAGTACTTGTGCGCCTCTAAGTAGTTTTTATCCTCACTTAGGTTTGCAGACAAATTACTTTTTAGAAAAATTAGACCCTGTACGTTCTGGTGGTATCTCTAAGCATGGCCTAACAATACATTTGTTTCTTTCCAACCAAAATTCTTCTTCGTCAAAAATTGAAGGCGTTTTACTCTACCTTTGCAAACCGTTCCATTTCCTGTAAATCCTTTGATGCAAGTACAGATGAATGATCCGTTGGTGCTGCTGCACGTGGCATCAGAGTGGCATGTGTAATTTTTCAACTTACATTCATCATCGTCGAACTTTGTAGTTTCTAAAAAGTCATTCAAGGATGCACACGTGTAATAAAGCCCACCTTTTCACATTGTTCCATTCCTACCTTGAATTCACCATTTAAGGTACAGTGTGTAAAAATAAATTCTTGTAACAGATCTGTGTAGTACAGTCTGTTACATGTTTTGTTTTTGTTCCGTAAAGTGATTATCTTAACTATAGGGGTGCAACCTCCCGGTTTTACCGATAACTTTAGGCCTGTTTAAAGAAAGCATATTGGCAATGAGAACTGACTGTTTTCAAAAAATGTAATTGGATAGGAATATGAGGCAGAAATTACTCAAATGTTATCAGTTTAGAGATGTACACAATTATTGATTGGACATTGTCATTAGATGCAAAACTTTTCTCTTTTATCACTTTATAAACGATTTATCACGCTCGTAATCTGCTAACGTCTTACTATACCTTCACATTTTGTTCCATTTCCTGTAAATCCTTCTTCACATATACATGTGTATGATCCAATGGTATTGTTACACGTGGCATTAAAGTGACATGTATGGGTTTCCAAAGAACATTCATCTTCATCTAAAGTTAGAATTTTCAAAATTTTTATAATCAGGTAAAAGCATGTGAAAAAAAGAATACTATAACTATGATCTAATGACGTTGTTACACGTGGCTTTAAAGTGATGTCCATAGGGTTCCACACACATTCATCGTCGTTCAAGCTTTTAGTTTTGAATTAATGTTCAATAATAATCAGTACCTCGCCAGTAAATATAAATTTACTTTGCATTTCATACCTTTGCACGAGGTCCCGTTTCCTGTGAATCCTTCTTCACATGTACATGTGTATGATCCCATGGTATTGTTACACGTGGCATCCAAGTGACATGTATGGGTTTCCAAAGCACATTCATCTTCATCTAAAATTCAAATTTTCAAAAATTATTGTAATCCGGTAAAAGCATGTCAAAAAAACCATTATAACTATGATCCAATGACGTTGTTACACGTGGCTTTAAAGTGATCTCCATAGGGCTCCATACACATTCACCGTCATTCAAGGTTTTAGTTTTGAATTACTGCTCAATAAAAATCAGCACCTCGCAAGTAAATATAAATTTATTTTGCATTTCATACCTTTGCACGAGGTCCCGTTTCCTGTAAATCCTTCCTTACATGTACATGTGTATGATCCAATGGTATTGTTACACGTGGCGTCCAAGTGACATGTATGGGTTTCCAAAGCGCATTCATCTTCATCTAAAGTTACCATTTTCAAAATTATTGTAATGAAGTAGAAGCATGTGAAAAAAAGAACATTCTACCAAATCATTACGTACATCCGGGCTAACATGAGATGCGCACGCACCGCCGTATGATCAGTGTACTTCACCTTGCTGTGGTGGTCAGTCGCTTGAAATTTGTTTTCCCTTTTATGTTACGATTTTCTTCCATCTTAGGTAAGTATTCTTGGTAATCGCTTGCATTCAGTCAAGCGGATTTTACATTACGGTAGTATTTGGACGTTAATTCCAAACTATCTCCTAATACAGAAATCAAGCTAAGCTTTGAAGTTCTATTTAAATTTTGCAGTGTAGCGAGTTACACTTGAATGGTTTCAGCGACGCGTCGTTGGCTATAACTCTCAGTCGGATACCTTGTGTATCCTATTGTGTTTGGTATAACGCGTTTATACCGTTGTGAGAAAAGCAAACTACTGTGGACGTGTCCACGCTATTTACTCTGGTTGAAATTCTGAAATTTCTGATTTATACCTAGAAATGACGGAGAGTCAAAATACTAGTTCCGAATCAATGCCTTCTCTCTCACAAATGAAAGCTTTGTTCTCTGACCTGTTAACTGAGACAAAGCAGGATATCCTAGTTGAAGTCAAGCAGTCCATCGACAAAATCTATACCGATTTTGAAGTTGTTGATTAAGAAATTCCACCTATAGAAGATGATAATATTTCTATGACACAGTCATCTGAGTGAGCAGAGGAGACCAGCTCTCGGGCGTCGATAATCGCTCAAATCGATCAATTGGCTACTCCTGGGACGTCTACGGATACCAAGGGAGTCAAAGCCCTTACTTTGGAATTCAGTACAGCGGAAAAAACGGCAGCAGCCGTGAATAGTGATTTAGCTGAGTTAATCAATGGTTTGATAAATGACAAAGTGCCCAAGGAGAAACTCAACCAGCTTCAAGAAAAATACCTTCGGCCAGAGAATTGCCCATATTTGTTACCACCAAAGATTAACAAGCAAATCTGGCAGCAGCTCCGCCAAGAAACGAGAAATTCAGATTCTGCCTCTCAGAAATCCCAGGGCCTCTTAATGGGGGGCATTTACGCACTCGTCCAACTCTGTAGTGAGATGCAAGGGCGACCAATGGATACGCTCATCCATGCTATTGTCCTGTTGCTCGCTGCCAATAGGGATGTCAACTTAAAAAGAAGAGATTCACTCCGCCCAGACCTGAATAAGCAGTTTCGAGCCTTGTGCAATCCTTCGACACCTATTTTACATTTTTGTTTGGAGATGAGCTCAATAAAGAATGGAGGAATTATCTAAGGCCAACAAGTTGAGTATGAAAGTTCATCAGAAGCAACGTTTTGTGCCCTACAGGTCTCGTCAATGTCACGTCCCCAGTCTCGTTCGGATTCAAACCGTTCTGGATTAAGAAATACCGGACAGTCTCGTCCTTTTTTGGGGGCAGGCCGGAATCAATCGAAACCACCTCCCCCCGTTCCGATCCACCAAGAACAAAATGTAACGCCTATGTGTGCTGAAGTAAGTAAATTATGTAAATTGTGTGTAGATCTTATTTCAAAGCAACCACCTTTCAGAGCTGGGGGTATAAAATATTGTGTCCACGAGTGGACTGATATTACCAGTGATCCATTTATTTTGGATGCGATATCACATTGTCATATTGACTTTGATCAGATACCTGATCCTGTGATTAATTCGACTCGTCATTGTAACTCTTTCAGTCCAACTGAAAAACATGTCATTGACAATGAGATCGGAACATTTTTAAGTAAAGGCATTATCAAATCTTCTGTTCCAACCCCAGGTGATATTGTGTCCCCGATTTTTGTTACCCCTAAAAAAGATGGGTCGCATAGAGTCATTTTTAATCTGAAACGCCTAAACGAGTCTGTATCCTACCATCATTTTAAATTGGATACCTTGCAGACAGCAATTCAACTTGTACAGCCGGGGTGTTTCATGTCAACTCTCGACCTAAAAGATGCCTATTATTCAATTCCAATTGCTGAGGAACATCAAAAATATTTGAAATTTTATTGGAAAAATATATTGTATACATTTACATGTTTGCCCATGGGACTATCAAGTAGTCCTCGGATATTTACTAAGGTCATGAAACCTATTTTTGCAACTTTACGGAGGCAGTTTGGCCATGTCTGCCTCAATTATATTGATGATTCTCTTTATATTGGTATTTCGGCCTCAGATTGTGCGGAAACCACATTGCATGCCATTGAGCTTTTTCGAAAGTTAGGATTTAGAGTTCATCCTGACAAATCTGTCATTGTTCCAACTCAAACAATAGAATTTTTAGGTTTTATCATTAATTCTATTAATATGACTGTGAGTCTTTCTGATAGAAAAAGAAACAAATTACATACTTGTGCATGTCTGTCATTCAGCAGGGAAGCAAATTACATCCGTGAAGTGGCATCATTTATAGGAAAATTGGTGTCTTCGTTTCCGGGAGTTGAGTTTGGTCCATTGCATTACCGGTGTTTAGTAGCAGACAAAGAGCATCATCTTAGATTGTGTTCGGGTAACTTTGATGTAAAATGACTCTTTCTCAGTCTAGCATATCTGAAGTGCAATGGTGGCTGGGCAACATTCATTCAGCCGTCAAACAAATTACTCATCCCCCACCAGATTCTGTTCTTTACACTGATGCTTCTAAACTGGGATGGGGTGCCAAGCTCTCTGAGGGGGCGAAACTGCTGGGCTTTGGTCTACATCAGAATCAGCTCTCCATATCAATATTCTTGAATTGTTAGCAATAAAATTTGCATTGTTGTCCTTATTTAGTTCAAAGTCCAACATTCATATTAAAATAATGTGTGACAATACTACTGCGGTAAACTATATTTCGGCCATGGGAGGCTCTAAGTCTGTTGAGTGTAATGCTCTTGCTCAGGATATATGGCAATGGGCAATTGAGCGTAACATATGGCTTTCAGCAGCACACCTTCCTGGAGTTTCAAATGTTACTGCTGATCATTTGTCTCGTGAGTTTAATCTAGACCTTGAGTGGATGCTTTCGAGACACGTCTTTTGCAAAATCGTTAGTATATTTGGGCAACCACAACTCGACATATTCGCCAGTCGACTTAATTGTCAGACCCCAGATTATGTTGCTTGGAAACCCGATCCACAGGCCAAATTTGTAGATGCGTTTAGCATCATATGGTCGGATATATATTTTTATGCTTTTCCTCCATTTTGTCTTTTGGCTAGGTGTGTACAGAAGATAATCCTGGAACAAGCCTCAGGAATACTTGTCATTCCATTATGGCCAACCAAACCCGTGTTTTCTCAAATCCTTCATCTATTAATCGACACTCCGCGGATAGTCAACGCCAACAGTCGCACATTGGTTCATCCTACGCTGACGACTCCACACCCGTTACACAACAGATTAAACCTATTGGTATGCAAATTATCAGGGAACGCCTGCAAAGTTCGGGACTTCCAGCAGACATTGTCAACGTCCTCATGTCCTCCTGGCGAGAATCTACTAATAAACAATACAGCGTCTACATCAACAAGTGGTTTTGTTTTTGTCGTGAACAAGGAATTGATCCTTTGCACCTCTCTGTAAAGTACGTTCTTCAATTCTTACAAACTTTATTGGGACAAGTTTTAGGGTATTCGACCCTCAACATTGCGCAATCTGCGATCTCCAGCCTAGACGTAAATGCTGCTGGTAATCATATTAACCCAGTAGGACAACGCCCTCTTGTGTGTAGATATCTTAAAGGTGTTTTCAACCAAGCCAAACCTGTTCCAAAGTATAACACGATCTGGCCAGTTGACAAAGTGTTACTTTTCTTAAAAACCTTGTGGCCTTTAGAAACGATTACCTTGAAGAGTCTTACTCTTAAGTTAGTCATGTTTATTGCGCTTACAACCGGACAACGATGCCAAACACTAACATATCTGGACATGTCTCCAGGCAATATCCAGCGAGATCACAACTGTTTTAGTTTCAAGCTTACAGAACATATCAAACAAGACCGACCAGGAAATGTTTATGGAACTCTTCGTCTTTATAAATACACTGCCCCGGAATTGTGTGTATATACAACTTTACAGTGTTATCTGCTTCGAACTGCAACACTCAGAACTTCACAGAAACTGTTGATTTCTTACATCAAACCTTATCAAGCTGTTACATCTAGTACTATTGATCGGTGGATCAAAGTATTGTTACACGATGCGGGTATAGATACTCAAACATTCTCGGCTCATAGTACGCGAAGTGCGTCCACCAGTAAAGCTTCCGCTTTTTTCGGCGGATGTAATCCTAAAAACTGCGGGTTGGACTGACGAATCGACTTTTCGTATATTCTATAAGAGGCCTGTCGCTATTACGGATCAGATGAGTAAAGCAGTGTTAGGCTAATTTCTAGTGTGTCACATTATGTAATTTATTTCATATCATGATGTGTATGTTAATGAAGTCTCATTAATATTGTCATTGGTAACATTTGTGTTTTGTGCTTTGAAGTCTCATGTTAGCCCGGATGTACGTAATGATTTGGTAGAATTTAACAATTAAACGAGACTTACCTTAAGTTGAAGTTTGATTATAATTCTACCAAATTATTTTAGTACAGAAGGGTTAACATGCCCAGTTATACCCAACCCATCCCTTACTCTTCATCGATATGTCAACCAAGCTCGTATTCACCTATACTGATCGATGTGTTTACGATCAACAATAATGTTGTTTTGTTTTAATAACTGATCATACGGCGGTGCGTGCGCATCTCATGTTAACCCTTCTGTACTAAAATAATTTGGTAGAATTATAATCAAACTTCAACTTAAGGTAAGTCTCGTTTAATTGTTAAATTATAACTATGATCCAATGACATACGCGTGACTTTAAAGTGGTCTCCATAGGGTTCCATAAACTTTTACATTCTTCTAAGGTTTTAGTTTTGAATTGCTGTTCAATGATAATCAGTACCTCGCAAGTAAATATACATTTAAAATGCATGAAATACCTATACACGAGGTTCCGTTTCCTACAAATCCTTCTTCACATGTACATGTGTATGATCCAATGGTATTGTTACACGTTGCATCCAAGTCACATGTATGGGTTTCCAAAGCACATTCATCTTCATCTAAAATTCAAATTTTCAAAAATTATTGTAATCCGGTAAAAGCATGTCAAAAAAACCATTATAACTATGATCCAATGACGTTGTTACACGTGGCTTTAAAGTGATCTCCATAGGGTTCCATGCACAGTTATCGTCGTTAAAAGTTTTAGTTTTGAATTAATGTTCAATAATAATCAGTACCTCGCCAGTAAATATAAATTTACTTTGCATTTCATACCTTTGCACGAGGTCCCGTTTCCTGTGAATCCTTCTTCACATGTACATTTGTATGATCCCATGGTATTGTTACACGTGGCATCCAAGTGACATGTATGGGTTTCCAACGCACATTCATCTTCATCTAAAATTCAAATTTTCAAAAATTATTGTAATCCGGTAAAAGCATGTCAAAAAAACCATTATAACTATGATCAAATGACGTTGTTACACGTGGCTTTAAAGTGATCTCCATAGGGCTCCATACACATTCACCGTCATTCAAGGTTTTAGTTTTGAATTACTGCTCAATAAAAATCAGCACCTCGCAAGTAAATATAAATTTATTTTGCATTTCATACCTTTGCACGAGGTCCCGTTTCCTGTAAATCCTTCCTTACATGTACATGTGTATGATCCAATGGTATTGTTACACGTAGCATCCAAGTGACATGTATGGGTTTCCAAAGCGCATTCATCTTCATCTAAAGTTACAATTTTCAAAATTATTGTAATGAAGCAGAAGCATGTGAAAAAAAGAACATTATAACTATGATCCAATGACATACGCGTGACTTTAAAGTGGTCTCCATAGGGTTCCATAAACTTTTACATTCTTCTAAGGTTTTAGTTTTGAATTGCTGTTCAATGATAATCAGTACCTCGCAAGTAAATATACATTTAAAATGCATGAAATACCTATACACGAGGTTCCGTTTCCTATAAATCCTTCTTCACATGTACATGTGTATGATCCAATGGTATTGTTACACGTTGCATCCAAGTCACATGTATGGGTTTCCAAAGCACATTCATCTTCATCTAAGTTTGTAATTTTTAAGTGTCTGATAAACATGTAGATCCAACATGTAGATAACCATGTACTTTTGCTGACGTTTAAACAAACCTTCACATTTTGTCCCATTTCCTGTAAATCCTTCTTCACATGTACATGTGTATGATCCAATAGTATTGTTACATGTAGCATCGAAGTGACATGTATGCGTTTCCAAAGCACATTCATCTTCATCTAAGGTTAAAATTTTCGAAATTACGGGTAATCAAATAAAAGCATGTGGAAATTAAGTAGAGCATTTCAACTATGATCCAGTGTGGTATTGTTACACCGCATGACTTTAAAGTGATTTCCATAGGGTTCCATACACATTCATCCTCGTTTAAGGCAGTGGCGCGGTACGGGTGACGGTAATTGGGGGGCACATATTCATATATTCATGTTGTGGAAGATTAATTTGTTTTCAAATCCATTGTCTTAGCAGGTCTGTTAACATAAATATATAAATATGTGACCCCCTGCCCCCCCCCATTTTCGTTCCCGGTACACCACTGGTTTAAGGTTTTACTGTTTTACCGTTTTAGTTTTCAATCAATGTTGTTCAATAATAATCAGTACCTCGCAAGTAGATATCAATTTACTTTGCAATTTACATACCTTTGCACGAGGTCCCGTTTCCTGTAAATCCTTCTTCACATGCACATGTGTATGATCCAATGGTATTGTTACACGTGGCATCCAAGTGACATGTATGGGTTTCCAAAGCACATTCATTTTCATCTAAAGTCAAAATTTTCAAAATTATTGTAATCGGGTAAAAGCATGTAAAAAGCATAACATTATAACTATGACCCGATGACATTGTTACACGTAGCTTTAAAGTGATCTCTATAGGGTTCCATACACATTCATTGTCGTTCAAGGTTTAGTTTTGATATAATGTTCAATAATAATCAGTACCTCGCAAGTAAATTTAAATTCACTTTGCATTACATACCTTTGCACGAGGTCCCGTTTCCTGTAAATCCTTCTTTACATGTACATGTGTATGATCCAATGGTATTGTTACACATGGCATCCAAATCACATGTATGGGTTTCCAAAGCACATTCATCCTCGTCTAGCATTTTGGATTGGAAAAATACATTAAATGTTCAGTTCCAAGTACGTAAGCCGTGATGTGATGCTTGTAATTTGTTTGCGTCTAACTATACCTTCACATTTTGTTCCGTTTCCTGTAAATCCATCTTTACATGTACATGTGTATGATCCAATAGTATTGTTACACGTGGCATCGAAGTCACATGTATGGGTTTCCAAAGCACATTCATTTTCATCTAAAGTTAAAATTTTCAAAATTATTGTAATCAGGTAAAATATCAGTAAATATAAATTTACTTTGCTTTACATACCTATACACGAGGTCCCATTTCCTGTAAATCCATCTTTACATGTACATGTGTATGATCCAATGGTATTGTTACACGTTGCATCCAAGTCACATGTATGGGTTTCCAAAGCGCATTCATCTTCGTCTGGCATTTCAAATTAGCAAAATATACTAAATGTTCAGTTTCAAGTATGTAAGATGATCGTTGTCATGGGAAGCTCGTAATCTGTTAAAGTCTTAGTATACCTTCACATTTTGTCCCATTTCCAGTAAATCCTTCTTTACATGCACATGTGTATGATCCAATAGTATTGTTACACGTTGCATCCAAATCACATGCATGGGTTTCCAAAGCACATTCGTCTACATCTATAGTCAAAATTTTCAAAATTATTGTAATCAAGTAAAAGCATGTGATAAGAAGAACATTATAACTATGGTACAATGATATAAACGAGGCTTTAAAGTGATCTCCATTGGATTCCATACACATTCATTTTCTTCTAAGGTTTTAATTTTGAATTACCGTTCAATTATCAGTACCTCGCAAGTAAATATACATTTAAAATGCATGACATACCCATACACGAGGTTCCGTTTCCTGTAAATCCTTCTTCACATGTACATTTGTATGATCCAATAGTATTGTGTCATGTAGCATCGAAGTCGCATGTATGGGTTTCCAAAGCACATTCATCTACATCTAAGGTTAAAGTTTTTAAAATTATTGTAATCAAGTACATCAAGTATGATCCGATGACATTGTTGCACGTGGCTTTAAAGTGATCTAGATAGGGTTCCATAGACATTCATCGTCGTTCAAGGTTTTAGTTTTGAACAAGACGCCTACTAGGCGTTATATGATCGCGTCGTTTACAGCGGCGTAGCCAGCCCAGCTATGCAAATTTTGTGTCATGAATGTTCTTAATAATAAAAATGAACAATATACCGAACTATAGTCGCATGTTGAAAGCAGGAGAAACACACAACAGCCCTTCAAAACTGCTTGAAATCCTTTAGTGCAGGCTTACTCTGCTCGGCGTGTGCAGTTAGTTGTATGTGTAATGAGTGTAAAGATAAAGATAGCACTTGCTAACATTTTGATCGCTTTATTGATTCTGCTTTACTGCTTCGAAGTTCGAAGGTGAAACGAAATATGCCCAAAGTGAATACAACACGTGATATAACTAGCAACTTACCTGTGCGCAGGTTCCCGATTAGGGTGATATGGCCTGCAGCTAGCGACGCTGGGGGTCGACCCGAGAGGAAAAAAATAATAAAAAAAAATCCAAGCCGAAACTATAGATCGCTGTCGCTACGCCACGCGATCAATTAATGTTCAATAACAATCAGTACCTCGCAAGTAAATATAAATTTACTTTGCATTACATACCTTTGCACGAGGTCCCATTTCCTGTAAATCCATCTTTACATGTACATGTGTATGATCCAATGGTATTGTTACACGTGGCATCCAAGTCACATGTATGGGTTTCCAATGCGCATTCATCTACATCTAAGGTTTTAATTTTTAAGTGTTTGATAGATAGGACCCAACATGTAGATAACTGTGTACTTTTTCTGACGTTAATAAACCTTTGAAAATGTTTCCGTTTAATGTAAATCCTTCTTTACATGTACATGTGTATGATCCAATTCAATGGTACTGTTAGACGTGGCATCAACATGCAATGTAGTACGCCACGATAGACTATAGTAATACTGACCTACCATACCTTCACAAACGGTTCCATTTCCTGTGAATCCTTCGTTACAAACACAAGTGTATGATCCGATGGTTTTGTTGCATGTTGCATTATGATGACATCTGTAATGACACTCGTTGATGTCTGAGTGGGAAATCAAAAGAAAAGATTTAATTGCCAGTTATTCGTTGATAATTATAATTTCGAAATGTGATAATTTTCAATAATGACTTACTGGTTTCGCATATAGATGGGTATTTGTGATAACATGGATTGTCATTCCATCGCCCATTTCTGAACATCTCAACGCAAGTTTCACTTCCTCCTGCATTATTCGGTTCTCCTCTTTCCCAATTGGTGTAAATCGTTTTCTTCCCATCAAGATAACACCATCCATTTTTACACTTCTGCAAACCAATCCAAAACCTTGTTTTGATGTCCTTTGCGTACGTTTGAACAAGAAAGTTTTTGAGATCTTCCCCCGTAAGTCTGACAAGCTGTCCGGCAATGCTGTCACAATAGTCGCTCGCACCCTGCATGGTTAGAGCATTGGAATTCAAACGATAGCAGTTGCTGCCATAACTTGTCCAGGACGCTGATGGACATCGGTTTGCTATAAACACAAAGGTTTTAACAATCGGTATTTCAGCCCGTGCAATTGTCTTATTGACAATGTTCCGGTAAAGTCAGAAAGGTAAAGCACAACAGATATAGGTAGCAGTGTTGCTTAAATTTTTATGATGCCGATATTTTCAATTAAATGCAACGCTGAACTTTTTGCAATGTACCTTCGCAAATAGTTCCATTTCCTGAAAATCCTTCATTACATACACATGTGTATGAACCAATGGTATTGTTACATGTGGCTTCATAATGGCAATAGTGGGTCTCCAACGCACACTCGTCCACGTCTAGAACAGATTGTAGAATTTAGTTTTGAACAAATAGGTGGATAGGGTTTATTACATATGCATGAGGCTCGGGTAAATTTCATTTATTGGAAAAGAAAGGTTTTGGAAGAGAAAGGTTTAGGTAGAGAAAGGTTTAAGTTTTCCCAACATGCTACGCGCACCCCTTGATCTTCCTTCTGGACAAGTTATGGCTATTTTAGACCATAAGTACCGAATTCTTGCATGTTTACAGTTATTATTAGTAAAATTATCAGTAAAATATTTTTGCTCACATTGGCTCTTTACTATGGAAATTTGCTTTACCCACACTACATCCATACTATATCCCAACTATATCCACACTATATCCATACTATATCCACTCTACATCCGCGCTATATCCATACTATATCCACAGGGGCGCCGTGGGTGTGCTAATGTAGGGGTGGCCAAAGGCAACATTATTCCAACAAGCACTTTTTTTCCGACATCTTTATAATAAAAAAGTAACGAATATTGACAAAACTGACAGGGGGTTTTGGGCAAGGACGCGCATGCATTTGCTATGACAAAGATCACGAGCTACGTCTACTAATTTAAATTGACGCTTCATGCACAATGAATATGACCGATAAATATTCACGTTTTACACACGCTTTTCAATTGAGTAGTTGAATAATTTTTGATACAGTTAACTGTTTGTGGGAAAACTGTATTACAGAGATTTCTAATCCACATGCATTAAAAAATAACGCGATACGTTATTTCATGATACTCTATTATAGCTTTGTAATCTTAGTGGATGAGCATACAGCGTATTCTATACGCAACATTTGTTTATAACCAAAATATAAACATATTCGCAAATGCTTCCATCCTCTCATCAGTTTACTTCTTCCGGTGTACTATCGCGGTACTTTATCTTTTAAAAACTTCAGGAACCGTTTGACTAAAAGTACTATAAACTTGAAAAGGATTTGCTGTAGCTCCAGCATTCTGATACGGGACATGCTGGTGTTTCTTTAGACGGTCACCATATCAATGCAATAAACTGTATAAACTCACTGAACAATAAATGCGGTCAAAGATACATGGCCATTCATCGCGATTTTATCGCGCCAATCTCCGACATTTCGAAAATTACATTCCTTGCGTAATGTCACATTAATAGAAACTATGCATGTTTATCGGAAACCGAAAACGTTCGGAAGAAAAAGCTAGTTTAGCCTGCGCGACAACAGTCTAATAAAAACTTGAGGTAGTGTCGTACCGTATAATATTAGAAATAACCGCGTCTATTTTCTGATAGTTCAAATACTTTTGGGTTGTTCAGCATAACACAGCCACAAATGCAAAAAATAGCTTAGTCTCTGTTATGATTGATATACTCCGACAACATGCAATGTTCGTAAATTTCCGACAGGTTTGAATCCTGGGGGGGGGCATGGCCCCCCCTGCCCCCCCCCCGGCCACGGCGCCCCTGACTATATCAATACTATATCCACACTATATCCATACTCTATCCATACCATATCCATTCTATATCTATAGTATATGAAAATGGAATTACTGATATTATAAATTTTCATACTATTTCCAACCAGCTTCCATGCTCTTTCCACAATGTGGATTTTGAAAAAAAATTAGAAAATGATTTTCCCAACACGGGGGATTAAACGAAAAATTACCATATTTGCGATGCGATTACAGGAATATATGTACGAATTCTGGTATGAAAAGGGAACATTGTACCTCGGGTCGCACTCTTTACCTTCACAAACTGTCCCATTTCCTGTAAATCCTTTATTACAATAACATGTGTATGATCCAATGGTATTGTGACACGTGGCGTAAGAGTGACATCCGTGAGTCTTCAACGCACATTCATCCTGATCTATTGTTGAAGTTCAAAATAATGGTAATTTAGACATGCAATATCCAATTAATGTTTAATGCCGCAAATAAACCTTGAAAATAACAGGACTCTTGGATCCAAACCACTTCTGACGTATGGAATATAGTCGGCTATCGATGAAGCCGTAGTGCATTGGCTTCAATGGATTTGCTGCTGATACACAAGACAAGACAACAGAATATAAAACATCCATCAGAAGTGAATTAGATGCAACAAAATTGAATCTTGTGAATAGACCTTCACATAAGGTAGCCTTATGTGAAGGTAACTTCACGTTGATTTCATAATCACGTGTCGTTCAAAAAAAAGATTTTCCTTTTTATACGAAGAAATGAGTATGGATTGATTGACTGGATTTCCTCGAGATTTGTTTCATCGAGATTTTCATGAAAGAATTAAACTCTCTATTTGCTTTGGATGCATTATTAAACATAGTCGCGTGTGATAGAGAATGCTATTAGTATTGGTACATCATTGGTAATTAGATCATTGAAATATGGTCATCAAAATTTGCCCTGAATATTTCACCATTTTTTGCCAGACTAATTGAGACTATTTTCACACGCTGATATTAAAACAAAACATTTACAAAGAAAATACGAAATTTATGTGATGTGATTTTATAAATAGAGTACTAAGGCCAGGTGCAACCCCAAGGGGATACGCCTTGCCGACGATAACTAAAACTCTTATAAAATGGGCTGGCTGCCCTATCTAAAAGACCGACAGGTAACGGAGTGCATGCACGCAATGTGGGAACGGTGGTCATCAATGGGCAGCAACAATTTGAAAACTTACAAGACCGAATACCCAAACCACAAACGGTCAGTTTAGGCGTGACATCGCAGAAGACAGATCTCGTTTAAAGTTGAACCCACCTCCTCCCTAAAGCTTCCACTAGCAATTATGTACATTGCATGATTTACAGTAGCTGATATATATCGAGAGACGACCGTTATATCTTAATTGGCGATCTTAGTAGGCGTATATACAGGTGCTGGCGGTAATGTGCCTCACACTTTTCTGAGCATAAATATTTGGAATTTTAATGGAATGTATTAATAAATATCTTTTTGTTTGACAGAAATAAAGCGGCTAGGAGAACCATTACTCCTAGCCAAAATTATCCCAAAACGGCGTAAAATTTAATGTGTCATTTTTGATGCTCAGAAAACTGAGCTGCGGAAGGGGTGTGCAAAATTCATGGCTGGCAATATATCTAGCTGGCTGTAAGCGTAAATAAATTACATTACCTAAATATATTTCATGCCACGTGTGATATTATAACTATAAATATCATGAATACCATATTCACCGAGCGAATATCTGCTTTACTCGATGTGAAAGGTGATTATTATATACCGCTTGTCAAACTTTGGTGTTCGTTGCATTTCTTTGGTCGAGAGCGAATCACGCGAGAGTTACGAAATGTTGATGTCGTCAGTGCGACCCTTTGCAGAGTGAGATAACGTGTTAGGCGCTCCTAGACGTGTGACCTTCAGACTGTTTATCCATTTGAAATTATGTCTTTTATATGAATAGTTATTTCGTTGCTTTGCTTTGACAAGTGGTATTAAATATAATTTTTCTTTGACAAGTGGTATATAATAAAAAACTTATTTACCGAGAACTCAGAAAACATTATGTTTTGTGGACCCTCGACCATCGATATTTCACTCAGCGTCGCCTCGAGTCCAGAAAACATAATGTTCCCTTCATAAGCTGTTCGTATTCTATGCACTCTACCTTCGCAGACTTTTCCATTTCCAACAAAGCCTTCATTACAAGCACAATTGTATGATTCAACAGTATTGCTGCACGTAGCGTTAGAATGACATTTTGGCTTTCCAAACACACATTCATCCTGGTCTACAATATTGTAGTTTCAAAAGAAATGATTTAGCGTTAATAAAAATTATGTCATCACTAATACATGCATTTGGGATGAGGAAATCTTTATCCCCATCTATAATCTGCTGTCTCTAAATCCCTCGCCTAAATCCCTGTTTTCGTGACAATTAATAAAATTCATACCGGGCATGGAAAAGGATTTCTAATGTTTTAAAGAAATTCGGCAATTGCAGTGATAAACTTCAGCAAAAAGGCGAGGCTCTAATTTCGCGTGCTAAACATTGTTCGTCTTTTATGAATTCATGAGATGAAATTGAAGCGCTTTTTTGCACCCATTTGGAAAGTTTGTAACTAGGTTTGAACGGAATATACAGAACTGAGAACCTATTTCAACATCTGGCAGGTTGTGCTGTTACTGTTGTTAAAAACAACTATCAAATGCAAAGTTTTAAACTTGATTATAGTCTATGTTTAACAACACTAGAGGCAGGGATAGGTATATAAAAATCATGTCTAATATGTGTTCAGGATACATTAAAAAGACCAATTATTTGTTAGTGTGTGTAATTATTTATTTCACTCACATTTCTCGCAGATTCCTTGTTTCTTGAATGTGCATGTTTCGTCATTCCACAATCCGGTGTTGTACATTGCGACACAATCTTCTTTCCCTTTTGCATTATCAGGTTGTCCTGTTGCCCATTTGAAATATTCTGAACGCGTTCCATATGGATAACACCATGGTCCATGTTTACATCTTTTCAAACCAATCCACGCGTTAATATCTCCTGTTACAAACGTCTGAAAAAGAAATGTGTTGAGGGCAGACGAATGAATTCTTGCAAGTCGACCACCCTTGCTTTTACATCGCTCCTTCGCATTATTCCAGGTAGCACTTTGAGTAGTCTTGGAATAACAGACATTGCCAAAATTTTTCCACGGAGAAGAACACTCTATTGGGAACAAGAAATTATATTATCGACAGGCGATTTCTAATATTTAAAACTGGTTGAATCAAAGTAATAAATTAAACAGCTGCATGTATGATTTTAAACTACCCCAAGTCGAGTCTAAAGAGTTTATTTGAAAACACTCACAGTAGTTCATCGCTAACTCGAACTGGATTTAGTTTGAGTTAGCGAGGAGTTCCAGTTAAGCGAGTTCGAATTAGCGGGGGACTACTGTATTTACTGACGCCGAGGGAAACTGTGTGTCGCTTTGTTGACCCGAGACCGCCGTAGTGGCCCGAGGCGAAGCCGAGGGCAACAACGAACGGTCGAGGGTCAACGAAACACACTGTTTTCACGAGATATCAATAAATAAGTGATTTGTTATTATATCTAGTGCCAAAATAAAGTTAACTTCAATCGGTATAAAATTATTACACTAAGTATATAGGCTAACAATTGCATTTTAAGTCACATCATCGAAATCGACAGAAGCTGACTAAGAGCTGTTTTCCGCTGTCGTACCGTATACGCTGAGTTTAAAATCATTTAAATGATACTTATTAAAAAAAACCGTTAAAAAGAATCTTGTGTCAAACTTCAGGTGAAAGATAGTTCTATTAGTTTTTAAGTTAGTTGAAGATGGCGGTCTCACACACGTTATAATTTATAGCTTGTCGACTGTCGCTCAGAAAAAGAGTTATCTACAAGTAACGAATTTATCCACAAGTAACTGAATCCACTGTATATAGTTGTCCACGACTAACTTCACTAACCTCTCGACGACTCGACAACAAATAGTTCACCCTAATTGGCTTCTGCTGATTTACGTCCTAGGGAGCTGTGATGTCAACCCCGCCATGTACCTTTTGTTTTATGTCCGCGTGTATACATAAGTTATTTATGATTATCCACAGCAAAACCTCTTGTGTGTAGAGGCTCTAAGTTACTTAAACTTTAGACTATCTGCCGTTGTTCTCACTTATATTCGTCGGTATAACAATCGTTTACACTATTAATATATACCATTTGAATGCTCGAACGTAGAAATTACTTCTTCCAGGTAATAACACTGACTTAAACACCAAGCAATGATTTCTTCCACTGTAAGAAATCTGCTCGTACATCATTCAAGGCGCTTTCGTTTCATTTCAAATTGATTTACTGCCGGATGTACATGTACAAGCATACAGGGTGTACAGGGTGTCCCAAAAAAAAGTCCCCGCTATTGAAATGAAGCTTTTGTTGGAATTTGAATGCATGATCAACGCAGTAGTGTGTAAATAGCATATTTATTAGGTTGAGGCATTCAAATAAAGCGTCTTGCTTTCAATTGGGTTTATCATAATATTAAGGCAATCAGATTCGAACAAAGGCTTGATTTCAATAGAGGGGACATTTTTTTGGGACACCCTGTATAAACGTGTAACCGTAATCACTCCCAGGGGCCCACGATCTTTTGTTATTGAACAGGAGCAACATAAATTATATGCCTATTAGATTCTATAATGGGTTTTTTATAGACACCTTTACACTCTTCGCATTGTAACTGCATGCTTAATTAGGGGTGTATATGTATATGTACAGGGTGTCCCAAAAAAAAAGCAACCACTTAAATATGCAGAACATTAATACAGCTCTAAAGCACAATAGATAAGCACCTCTGGGAATTGAAAATGGCTCTTAATCCTTCATTTACAATGCTAAAAGTCATTTTAGCTGAACTATGGTGCAAACCCGAACAATATATTAATATTCTTGCATATTTAAGTGGTTGCGTTTTTTTTGGGACACCCTGTATAGGATATTACACGGCTCAGGGTTGGCAGATAGCTGCATATTTGAGGCCAAACAACATCACACTAGTTCTTTGTTTCCTTTTTCTTTTCCTTTTGTTTTCTTTGTTTTCTTGATAGCACTAATGACAAATATTTTCATATCTACCAACTCTGACACGGTTGCGGGTAGATATATGGATTTTATGTTCGAATGGCAAAAAATATTTTTATGGTATTGTTTAATATTGTATATAGTACTAAATTCAGAGTGACAAAAATACACACGAAGACGACAAGTAAATAAGCCGCGAAAGACCATTATTATCTCTGTGTATGTATCGATGATTTCCTGTCTATTCTCGGCAGTGGAGGAATGTAAATCCGAGCGATGATTTTTATTTGCAAATTCAATTGCCGAGATCTCGCTTCAGTCGCTTGATAAAAGGCGAAATCTCGGTAAGCGGGAGAATATTTTCCTCAAATGTTTAGTCAGCATCTTTGTCGAATTCCTAATTTTGTCGCCAAGTTCCGCCAACCAGGAAGAGCATACGTCACAACTGAAAATTTTACGTCTTTCCGGATAAAGTTTCGTCATATGTAAATTGTAAAGTAGAATTTAGTTGGTCGTAAACTTCCGCCCAGATGAACAGGGCTTTCGTGTTTTTGTGTAATAAAGCGGAATTTTTTCACGAGAATTAATATCTCTATGCGTGATACGCGATGCCAAATATTTACTATCTTTCCCAACCGAAATCTCATCTGTCTTTACCACATATGCGTATAACTATTCCGTAATTTTGCTAAAATTAAACATTTGGCTTGTGGAATCCTGGCTTGCCCCGCCACATGAAGGTACCTTTTCTCTTTTGACCGTTAACGAGTAAGTTGTACCAAATGGTTGCAGTTAAAAGAAGTCGAACAAACAAAACAAAATACTGCATCATTCATAAAAGTTGAGATCAATGTCGGTATAAGTGCACAAACCGGACGTGACCGATGCACAAATACAAGCCTACTTATATTTGTCGGAAAGCGTGTGTTAGCCACGCCACGGACACATCAGGAAAAGTGACAGATCATCTGCGACACTGACAGTCACATGTGTGTTTGCTTCAAGTAATGTTATATTACCATATAATTCAAACCTGTATACAACCGCAGGAATTGCTTTCATTCAGTGATTGCCAACGACTTATATTAGCCCAATATGTTATTTCTATCATTATTAATTCTGTTTCAAATTTTGCAACGTGTATTGAATTATAACGTGGGGAATTGCTAGACTAGGAATAAAATCGAATGCACTAAATAAGCAGTTGTATAAAAGCGTTTAGAGTTTTCTTGCATGGCATTCTCCACATGACTAAATTAGATTGCTATTAAGCATTTTTGTCCATATTTCAATATGGAAAGAATTCATATTAAACGGAAGAAGAAAGACACACAGCGTTTATAATTGTTTACAACTCTTTAAGAAAACATGCATGTGCTTAATAATAAAAAATGCAGTGAAGGAAATAAACTACATTACAGGGAAGGAAGTTGGAGAAATAAAAGTCAATTTGAACGATACTTCGGTGATTCAAATGTGCAATCAGCAAACATGTCACTCTTTGTCATGTGATGAGATGTCTTTAGCAAAGGAGAAAAATTTAGCACTTTCATTTTGCACTCAAATTTTATAACTTTATTCTTGCATTAAGACATCTTTTTTATGACAATTACACGTCTTCTTAGTTCATGATTTGCTTGCAAACGCATTCAGAGCTGCTTTGTACAACTCATTCTTACAAGGAAAGATTTTGGCGGCTCTGCGCCAACACTGACCGAATAAACTGATCTCGTAGTTTACGTCCGCGTGGCCTTGGCGAAGTAATTCACCATTTCGGATACAGTAGGTCTGGTGAATTAAAAGACCCGAAGATTTTAAATGGTGATCATGATGAACGTTTAGTAACAAATTATACTGATTTAATTACTAACATGTAAAGCTCTGGCGTAGGAATCACTCAGCTGTAGACCTTTTATGGCCTAATTTACCGCGCCAGCCTGTCTTATATGTTGGTATTTAATATGAGTATGCTATACGTTTGTATTATCAGCCATCGTCGTTCACTTTTACGTCTTAAATTTCAAATTCCTAAAGTGAAACTTGGAGCCTACCTTTTGCACCAATGCAGCAAGGCGTGAAAGTCTGGAAGATGACAAGCAATACGAGGAGTTTCAGTTCCGCCATTTTCCTGGATAACAAATTTTCTTAAAGTTTTCGCGGGTAACAAAACCAGTTATCGTATAGTTATGTTTTTACTTCAGGTTGTTAAAGCAGTTTGTAGTTTGCTCCACCTTTGGTTTGTGAAGGGTAAGCTGATTTGAATATGTGTATTCACACGCGTCGAGTTTTACTAATAGTCGAGGGTCGAGGATAATAAGTCCAAAGGGGACGAGAAAATGTCGAGGATCAATATGTCACACTGATATTGTTAGAGCCATTTGTAAACCATACAGTGTGACCATATACGCAAATTTTTTAAGACCAGAGCTGTCCAAATCTAGTTAGAATGCCCCCTCTTCGTATAAGTTTGGTAATTATCAATATCAGACGGGGTTGCCTTTGTGCATCCCATGCACCGAATTTAGTAATAAAAATTACCAGATCTGCTCACACTGAAACCATGCATACGTTCAAATAATAAAAAAAATGAACTCGCATGCAATAATTTTATCTTTGTGCGGGAATTATTATTTTATCTTAAAATCACAATGTAGCTTCTAAATATATATCTTCTTCAGGTAAAAAACCTTTGCGATATAGTATGCGATTAAAAATACGATTCCACTCTTGAAATTCATTTTCCATTAACTTCAGTTTCTCCAGGCATTTCTGGTTTATTCCTCGACCCACGACAATATTCGCCGAGGCACTGAACTCGCTAGCTTCGTGTACATAGAATTTACGAGGATATTGGGTATCGGAACTTACACTTTGTATTAAATGACGATGTGTCATAATATCAGTCAAGAGCTTTTGACATTGTTCCGTGTAGTACATGCAACTGTGAATTTGACGTGAATTAACCTAGTTTACATTCGGTGGTTGTACAATTACGCTCTCCGATCATTCGCTAAGCGCCCCGATTCCATGCACTTTGCCGGATTATATTAAATCTTCAATCGTGTACAAACTGCGACGTGTGAACGCGCCCATACACGACGACATCTTGTTAAACGGCGAAATAACAGCGATATTATTAAAATAGGACCAGAATCTACATATATTAAATATATTCTTACCCCATTTAAATCTAAACACGAACAGCATCAAAAGAACGGTTTATTTGTTCCTCTAGGAGGAGTTGCCGTATCATTAGGAGGAATTGCCTTATCATATAGAGTTCATGCTCGACATAACTGGACTAGATGACGGTTAACTGGACTGGATGACGCTTAACTGGACTAGATGATGGTTAACTGGACTGGATGACGGTCTCCAGTTAGGGAAAATTCCCAAGTGTTGGATACTCTGGTGTGTAGATGGCGTTTGGTTTGTCTCACGTACGATGTGGAACAGCATCGACACTTGAAAAGGTATACAACACCAGATCTCAGAAATTTGGGAACTTTATCCTTAAAAAGTTATTTCAGTTACATGCAAATACTCGCAGCGACCTCGCGAGTTGATTTTGCGATAAGTGGAAAACAGCCTTTACGCCTGGTTTCCGTAAAGTCGTTAAGTGTCGTGAACATGTCAAGGTGGCTGATGTGATAAAATATTTCTATTTGTGTGCAGTCAACAAATAGAGATTTACAACCGGACTCTTTCTCATCGGCGAAAATGACTCATGCACGACAATTACGATTAAATGGAAACCAGGCTTAAGAATTGTATCGTCGCAAAGAAAAGCATATTTGAACCGCTCTTTTGTCAATGTTGTGACAGTTGATGCCCGTTGTCGATTGACCCAGGGTTGACCTCAGTTGAAATTGCACCTTGACGTCGCACAATCACAAAAGTCTTAACGTTTCTCCTGTGTATCATAATCTCTGAAACTCTGACTGACAGACTTTAAAAAGGTTTTTCAATGATATTTACCCCGTGAGTTACATGAGGATTATTGCGTGCGTTCCTTGACAAGATTTAAAAATGTGAAATATGACCTGTTGATATGGCGCACGCCACCAGCCCAAGTTGCCAGGCAACAATTTTGCCGTGAATACTTCTTTGTTGTACAACTGGTAGTGAATATAAATATTGTATTCTAAAACTATAAAGCAAGCGTGGCTCGCTGGTCTAGTGGTATGATTCTCGCTTAGGGTGCGAGAGGTCCCGGGTTCAATTCCCGGGCGAGCCCGATGGGTTTTTTTTCCTAAATCATGTCTACTGTGTAATTTGCATAGATTAGAATGAACACCATAATATTACAGATGAGTAGGTTTCTATCAGATAATTTAAATTATATTTACATATCGGGTTAGAAAGGTGAGATTCGCAACTTCAAAAAATCAGTGTGACCCTATTGATCGTTTGTACTTGGTATAAACATACCAGGCATGTCTTGAAATAGTTCGTGTCTGATAGTTCAATAAAAATCGTGTCTGAGTCTGATATCATTCAAATATCATTACCGGGCTTATTAAAATCGGTCACTGCGTGAGTTTAATTGAAACTGTTTGTTATGAAGTTTCAGCTTCGTAAAGCTAATCAAAACGAGTAAAAAGACCGATAAAACATGAAGACTGAAGTTAAAGAAATTCGGTTTTGCATCCACAAATTCAGGCAAATGCTTTCTATATGAATTTAGGGTATACGTATACGGTTAGGATAAGTGCGAGCCGAGGTGCAGGAATAATTGAAAGTGATTAAGACCTGTTGTGTTTTTCAAATTTTATTTGTGATAAGTAAGATTTTCGTAGCTAAAACTATTTCTTCGTTTATGCTGCAGTAAGGATTCTTAAGAAAATTTAGTTAAACATGCATGATTTCATTATATGAGAATTAGTGAGGACACAATAAAAGATCAGAATTCAGCTTTGTCGACAGGTAAGGAATCTCCATCTTCTGTCCCTATAAAAAAATCATGGGTATGAAAACAGCATCGATCTAAACATCTGTAATAATCAAGGGCATTTAAAAACTCTACGTAGGGTTTCAACTCTGGTCTATAAAGCCCTAGTAATACGAGTTTGCGGTGGTTATGAAGGAATAAGAAAAGTGATCAACGTGAAAATAATATCAATGTCTTACGCAGTAATTAAGAAACATAAATCTTCGCTGACAACTAATGCATATAATTTAAAAACGGGAAAAATAGGCCACTCATTATATATAGCTAAAATCATAGTGAAAATATCAGTGCAAATCAGAGTGTTGTTCATTTGATATATATAATAGTTTGATGTTTGTCTGATGCATGTTTGTTTGTTACATCCAGTACAGCGCTGTTGAATTTAACAAGGAAAAGTAAGTTCTCTTGAGAGAGAGAAGCAGTGAAATGTATAATTTTTATATTTATAGGTATTATATAATATGCATGGGTGTTATAATTTTATTCTTTGGCCGGGTTTGGGTTTTTTTAAGGCAATCTATCAAAAGTGCTTTCTTCGAGTTCTACCATGCAGCGATGATTGAAGTCAATAATTTTTGTGACCAGCTTCCATTGGTGGAAAAATGAAAAATATTCACAGACTTACTCTTTTCCATTATCGTGAAGGCTTTGTGCTCCAACGAGAAATTTGGTCAAGGGTATATTGTAATTCATATAACCATCCCAGTTATTAACATGAGCGGTCCATGAACAATCACGTTGACAATTCTTTTTTGTACGACAGCATCTGAACTTAAATCGTCTGTCTTCACGTTTGTTGCTGTGTTTGGAATAAACACCTGAATTATATTAATAAAAAAACATTTTGAGCTTTGAACATTCATGCTTTATCGACCAACCAATGTGAAAATTACTTATGCACGTATATCACAATATAGTTTATACCCGCGATAACTCCATTAGGACATTGATAAATTAGCTCTTGATCGTACGCATTCACCCATCCTGTCCAGTAGCATGTCGCTGCAATTTTCGAGCTATATCTGCACCTGAATGTCCACGAGCGGTCTTCGTGCCTGTTGCTATGGACACTGCTGATGTGATTAATAGATTGTCCTATGTTTAAGAATTAAGATTTTGTGAACTGCAATTTCGAGCTAAAAACAACCTATCAAAGTAATCTAGCCGGACTAGGGCATTATTATAGGTATGAAGTTATTAAGTGACTTTGGTTGTAGGCAATAGACCTTTTTTATAATGACGTCAAACGTGGAAAGTCTGATGTTACACAAAGTTTGATTGGCTCAATAGTTTTGTGGAGCCAATCAAATTTCGTGTATAATCAGACATTTCGCGTTTGATGTCATTATAAGAAAGGTCTATTTGCAGGATTTTTATCGTGTTTATATATGCATGCAGCTTCAATTCAAAGTTACTGTACATTATGTATGTGAAATCAAAGTTTAAAAAATAAGGGCATGTTTACATGGAGCGGGTTATCCCGGCTAGGCGAGGTGAAAACTGCATATAATGAAAGACTAATAACTAATCCTGTAATGTGATGCGCTTTTTACCCCGCCTATAGCCGGGATATCTCGCTCCATGTAAGCAGGCCCTAAGAGGTGTATGTACAAATCGCACAATGCATTTCAACTTCGTCTCGGGTCAAAAACCTAAGTTCAAATGACGAATTTTCGCATTTCAGAAGAAAACTTTATTTTTTCCTCTTTCACTTTTACTTCGTGATTAAGCTAATGTTCATATCATTGCATGAGCCTTGACACTTGTGTTGTTGATAATATAAAAGCAATAAATACTGGAGGAGGATATTTAACATACCATGTGGACAAGTGAATGTCCATGTCTTATCGAAGTCGGTCCCAGCATGGATGCTCATGACGTTAACCAGAAATATAAGGAATACGAAAGCCACTTGCATCATTGTACACTTTTAATAAATTGACGGCATAGATCACTTTATACTATCAGAAACATAGCTATATGTATACACATATATAAAATAAAAATACTTTCCCAACCTGAAGGGACTCTAGAACTTTTCACGAAGATCAATTTGCTTGGCGTTGTGGTATCTGTGAAATCAGAAATGAATGAAACAACCATCTAGCGACTTATTTTATAGACAGCTGATAACCACGCCCCAACCAATGATATATTTCAACTTTTCCGGTACTCGTGTTTCCATTTTTTTACATCCAAGTTGTTCCTTCTTGTTAAACTTGTTCTGTCTTGGAATAAAAACATCTTTCACAGCTGACGTGATGAAATCAATATCTCTTTCTCTTGAACATGCTTCCTTCAGAATATTGCATTGTCATTGAAAATTGAAAGAATTCACTGCAGTACGGGCGAGACGAAGATTCATTTTGTAGGTAGAGGATATACACGGAAGAAAATGCATGTTTTATAAGATCGAGTGACACAGAGAAGTATGCAGGTTTCATTCCTGTTCGAGACTCTGAAGTTGATTTTTTGATTAACTAACTGCATTTAAATAAACTTTCATAATTCTTCATGTTGATTTTGGTGTTATATGTACTTAATCTCTAGCGCATGTATTGTACATCACACTAAAACTTTTTGGTTATGATTCCCTTAACATACAGGGATACCTCAGCATTCCTATAAATAAGCGTGGCTCTAGATGTATAAGAAAATAACCACAAACTTATTTTCGATTGTATTCATACCTAATTTTTGTGTGCAGTAATAACAATTCATTATGTGCAGTGATGAAAATAAAATGTGCAATGATAAATTATATTTCATGATTTGATAAATGACAAAACAAGGCGATGCTCTGGAAAGTACAAATTCAAGGCTTGATATCAGGTTGTTACCTTTGGTACGAATTAGGCATTTAAATATAATCTTCAATACGTGGATGTAATGCACATGAATACTTCACTGTACCTGCGCTTGCCAGTAGTGCTATGAGTGAAAATTCTGTCACGAATTTGGTCCCCTCGTACCATATAAAACTGAAAACTCATAGGTTCATTTCATTATGCATCTAGATGTATCTAAATTCTTTGACATGCTTACCATCTTTCGGTAAACTAATATAATTATTAAAATTAGAATTCATAGTGAAATTTTGTGTTTTCATGTTATTGTGAGTCATCCCAACTTTGCGCTTTACTTTATTTGTGATAACCCAGAGTGGTAGAGTGAGAAAAGAAAAACTAAGAAATGAAGAATTGTGACTGCGAAATTGGCCAAATAGTTTAAAAACTTGCTTTTAGGAAAAAATCTGTCCAATTTCCAAGCATATTGTGCAGTGATAAAATTAGGCATATGCGTTACTTTCTTAGTTTTCATTACCACGATCAATCAAGGGGACCTTTAGATCATATGGTTACGAAAATTGCATAATATTCTCAGGCAATAAGTCAGACCGTCACATGTGTCCTCTCAATAAAAGATCATTGACGTTACCATGCAATATGGAGTAGTTGAATAAGAAAATGCGGAAAAATAATTGTCAGTCATTTGAATATAATTATAATGATAAGAATTAAATGCTTATCGACAAGTACTTAAGAGCTTTTGAAGGGCAAAACTCTTTATTTCTCATCCGATTTTTTGGTCATATTGTTGTTACTCAGCATTTTTGTGATGGAAAATAAGAAACGAAAGTAACCAAACTCACCATGCACGATTAACATGGAACAGAAGGTCCAACATCAAATATCAAAGATGGTGTACATATATATAATACATGCATAATTTTCAAGAAGAGTTCTCCTTATACTTTTTAGATGATTTTAACATACAGCTACAAGCAGTGGCGTAGCCAGCACAATAATTGGGGGGGGGGGTCAAATTCATATGTTCATGATACGCAGGATTAATTTCTTTTCGAATCAATTGTCTTTACAGTCTGTTGACATGAATATATGAATATGGGTCCCGCTCCCAATTATCGATGCTAGCTCCTCTATTTCTGCTGTGAGCAGATTTAAAGACAAAATGGCTCAGATGCTGCTGCTCTTGCTGTCATGTTAACAACAGTTGATCTGATCAACCTCTGCTTTAATGCTGTGGACATTTCCTGATTTAGCTATAGCACGCAATTCTGAATCAACATATATGGACAGAATACCCTGGGTACTCTGGATGCTCTACTTTAACACGTTTAGTGAAAGAATATTTTACAGGTTTTGGAATTGACACTTTCAATACATCATCTTCAAAGCATAATGAGTTTTCTGAAAAATCATCTCCATAGGTTCAGTGGAACAGGACTGTGAGGATGAAACAGGACCTCTGGCGGCTAGTACAAATTTAAAAAAAATGAAATATTTCAGGAACATGCAATTTTTCTTTTATTTAAATCTTAAGTGAGGTTTCAATAATCATATGAATAAGCTAAACTTTGGAGTAAAATTCTCACAAGAGTAACATCTTATTTGAAGTTGGCTAGTGTGTTTACCAAGCCTGCTTGTAAGGTTCACCTGCATTATAATTTATGCATGCATAAATCTGGTAAAATATAGTTTCAATGAATTAATGTAAGAAGAGAAAAAATATTTGTATTAATTCAAAATCAAGCTGCAACAAAAAATAAATAATATGTGTGTAGTATTACTGTGAGTATTACTATGGTAAAAAACATCCATCTTTAAAACCGGTTTAAAGGGCTCCTTTACTACAATCATGTAATTAAGCCCATTATGATGTATTCGAGTGATGGCCGATATGGTGTTTAAGTTGCGAAAGAGGGCGGCAAGAGTTATCTTAGACGCTCCTTATACATGTCATCGACAATCCAACTCTTTGTCTCTTTAACCGGTTGAAACGGCTCCCATTTTATGAGGAAAGTAAAGTAAATAAAGCTGTATTTGCTTATAAGAGCATAAATGGCGATACTGCTCCTTATTTACGTGAAGCATTAAAATTAAATCGTGAGCAACATTCCAGAAATACAAGATACGCTGAAGTTAACTTCATCAGTCCAAAGGGTGAACGGGTGTTTTCAATTGCAATATATTTAGAAGAGGGAATCTTGATACAAGACGTCCAGGCTTCCTGAATACCCCAAAAATAGCACTTTTAATGTAAAACACTTCATAACAAGTGGTTTTTTCGTTTAGACGTAATTTTTATGAAAGAAAGTTTAACTGAGAAAGTAATTTTTATTGCCATATCCCTTTGAACCTCTTCCTAGAATAAAACTGACCGTGTTAATTAATGTATTACTAGTAACAGGTAAATGTATAGGTTTGTGTTTCAGTTTGTTGTCGTGTATATTCTTTGATCTTTTGTTTCTCGGCTTGGCTTGACGTCTTTGAAAATTGAATTAAACATTTTGGTCAAGGTGTATCGCGTTGTATACGGTATATGTTCTCCGTCGACAGTCCTACGTTTCAACTAAGTTTATAGCGACCTTAAGCAAACCTTGTTTTACGACGGGCATGCTCGACTAAAGGTGAAAAGAGTCTGGACGCCTTGCCCGATTTTAGGGACCGCCTGCCATATAGGCTAGCACGGTCATGGACGCCAATGCATGTAATGAATTTCATCAAGCCTTTCATCTCTAAAGGCGGATTTCCACTTACAGCGTATCGTTCGCTATCGAAATATTTGCATTTTTTCTTTTGAATTGAAATATTGAAGAGAACAGTCAAGTGGCACTGATTTATTCATGCAGTTAAAAAAAAATATGCAAATATTTCGCTAGAGAACGATTTTGCTGTAAATGGAAATCCGCGCCTTAAGAAGCATGACATGTTGTCTCTTACAGTAATCAGTACGTTCTCAATATTTCATTGGCTTTTAAAAGTTCGAAAATTTTAAGAGACAATGAAAATTAGCCTTTCTGATTCAAGTTGAAGCCGGTATCAGGCAACTTGCAACCCGCATAGTCGCAGTGAAATTTCTAAATGTACAATTTTGACAACAATATTTGTACTACAAAACGGATATCCTATATAAAAGCTAAAATTTCATCGCAAAATACACTTGATAGACATTGTTTAATATTATAAGTTTATGTTTAAATAATTCTAAGCGACTAGATGGCAAAAAAGTTGTATTAATTATCTAGTGAAACAAATATTCCTGCATTGTCACGCTAGTCTTTACGCTTTTTCCTAGCAAAGAACCGTCTTACTCCGCATTTCCAAAAATAGATCCATAAAATGCATTCTACTAACATCAAGAATGCCTCAGCCGGCAGGAAGTACTAAGAAAATCAGTTATTTATCTCCCTAAAAATTTTTTTTTTACGAAATCACAACAAAATACTTTTGTTTTGACAGTGTATAAGACTGGGGTGACTTAGCTTCAACTTCCGGTCAGAAGGTAGCGTTCCAGTTATATCGTTATATATATTTCACTCACTGATCTGAAATAAGACTGGATAACGCATCTATAGAAGGCAAAAGTGAAGCCGGAAGTGATCCGGCCGCCATCCGATTCAAAGGCCTCACTTTCGTATAATTTAATATAGATTTCTATTACAGAACCGGAGTTTTTTGCGTTTTTGCTTTGTTCACGTTTCTATCCGGGCCAATTTTAGAATCACAAACATAGAAGCATAAGAGAAGAAATTTGAGCAAAAAATTTGGAATATTTCGACTTCATAACATTTTTTGCTCAATTCTCTTCTTGTTTCACTTTTGCCTTCTATAGATGCGTTATCCAGTTTTATTTCAGATCAGTGATTCCACTTGTGCTTGTCTAAGTAAATTAATGCGTTAAAAACACAGCATGGTGCTGTTAATTATTATGTTAGTTTGTGTACGTGGAAGACGGAACAAGCTTCTGCTACTCGACATCGTTCAAAGAATATACGTTGAAATAAACTGCCTGGTGAACCCTAGTTGAGGCAGAGCAGGTGAGTCAATACTCATAATTATTAGAAAAGTTTCTTTGCGATTATCATTGTATCAAAATGCTGGTGCATGCATGGATGCA